AATCATTAATGTTTGTAATTCATTTATAATAAGCTACACAATTAGTCGAAAAATATAAATAATATAGAGAATACTTCTTTCATTATATGTATTTATTTATTAAAAAAATATCGTCGTACAGTATGAGTGATATTATGAGTTTATATTCATTACATAAATATACGAATAACAACTATAAATTAAAATTAATTAATAATAATAATAAAAATCTAACAAAATAATATATAAGGTGTTCAGCAAGTAAGGAAACGGGTTCCTATTGTTCTCATTGTTTGTAACAATGAGAACAATTGACCTATTTTCTTACTTACTTAACACTCTGTATAAAAAATACAGTCATCATTGAAACATATAATTGTATTTAAGAATAAGAGATTTTATTTTAGCTATACTATTGTAAAAAAATCAAAATTAGGAATTTCAATACAAGAAGATAAATAACGATTTAGTAAACTAAATTTAACATAATTATGAGAGCTTGTAAAAACTTAAAAAAGGTTAGTAAAGCGTGTATTGATAACAGGTACTTTTAAATTAATTTCTTCTATATGTATGTAACTATAGATACATATGTAAAAAGACATTAAGGGCTTTTAAATTCGAAAAAGTTCCGTTTAGCAAGTTCAAGTTCCCTAATTATTTTATACTTATAAAAAAATGTGTTTAGAAAAATTAAAATCGTGAGGCAATATCAAACCAAGGTCACGAACTTGTATTACTTTATTAATATCATGGCCATTATATGTATAGTTCGATAAAAAAATTTTTTGCGGTGACAAAATTATATATATGTACATTAAGACTCATTTAAATTCAAGTCAGTAATTACCAACTATAAAAAACATCAAGGTCATATTAAGGATGTTTAATATCTTTAATAGGTAGATATAATTTTAAATCATCAGCAAATATTCAAAAAAATTAGAAATAACCAGTGATAAATGGCTCCCCTAGAGAACTAATGAGGATACTTTTCTAAATTTGTCTGATGTTATCTCCTTAATTTTTGCTCAGTGGACTCATTTTAATTGTTAAGCTCAAAAATCATCACTTTTTTTATTTACATAATTTTACTTGGGTTTCTTTGACAGATCGTAATTGATTAACTGGACAAATTTGAAATTTTATTCAAATGCAATAACTCGAAATTTAAAAGAATCTATTTCCATAAATAATTCATAATTGAATCCTTCTAGCTTGGTGATTTCACAACCTAAGTTATTAACTACCACTTTAAATGTAGTTAATAAAGATTCTATATTGATTAGATTATTATTAATACATTTTAAACCTGATTCTTTAGATGTTATTAGATTCCAGATATTTTCAATAGTGATTTCGGTTTTACACATCACATAAGAACTTAATGCATTTTTTTGGCAGGTTAATTTTATAAGGCTTTAATATTTAAATTTTTCATTCAAACTTAAAAATCTTAGATTATTTTTTTAACCTTTAAGTGAAGTTGAGAAGGTATTTTTTGTACTATGATATTATTTTTTTATCTGTCACAACCTTTTCTCAGCTTTAACTAAACAGATTGTTTTTAACAAAACATAAAAAAATCATAATCTATAGATCAACAGTTTCACTATCATGAAGACATTACCATTAAAAATTTGAAAACATTTCTTCGTTCCTAGTAAATGACAAAAATCTCCCAAAAAATAACAATTGTTAAAACCGTAAAATTTCGACATTTTATTAACTTTTTACTGCAAACTGTCATCACTTTTTCCGAAAGCTATTAACAATTATTAAAAACGATACATTCATTTCTAAAAAATAATCAATATGAAGTATTTGTATTTAACAATGAGATTAAATATAAGTGAGATCAAGAACATTTATTTTTAAAAATACTACATTCACATAAAAAGTTTTGATAAATATGCTATATTTTAAACAACATATTAAAAAATAACAATATTCCTGACCAATTTCCGATTTGGAAAATATTTTGACGAATTTTCTCGGTATATTATATTCCAGTGATTATTATTTTGAGAATTTTACACACATAACTTAACAATATTATTTAATATGAACTGTGTATGTTCAATTTTATTGAATAGTACAAGTATTTAGTCTTGATGAATTTTTAATAGAGTACCAATGCTTATTCAATATATGTGTATTTAAAAAAGGTAGCTTTGCTATAAAATGTACAAACTCATGATCTAAATTTTAACGACAAAGCAAAATATTAAAAAAATATAGAAGAAAATTAGTAAAAATTAGAAATAAGTTAAGATAGTTAATACGTTCGCAAGAATAGGCTTAGTTAAAGTATAATCAAATGTAACTTAATTTATACATTAGTGTAACTATATGAATTTAGGGTGTCAATTAACTTCGTCCTTCTTTCTTAACTGTGAAATCAACAAGTTTGTCTATTAGTATTTAAACCGCAAATTTCAAATTAGGTTTTAGAGTAATTATTGTTTTATCATTGCCAAAAGTTAATTTTCAAAGTGGTTAATTTGATCTAGTCCAAAGTAGAGAAGATTATATTTCAGAAAAACACATTTATGTGAATAAATCCATAAATTATAATCCTTAAAATCAATAAACTATCCTTAATACCCAACAGAGCTAATCTCATAAACTGAGTCTGTATTATTCGGCACGTCTAAAGATGCCAAAAATAATCATATAACATGAAACCAGTATCTTTTCTAATTATTAATTCATATCTTAGTGATTTGCACACTTATGATATTCTCAAAAATTATATAACTTGCCCTTTAACTTAAGTAAATTTGTTTACAAAAAAAAAAAAAACATCTCAAAAAGTAATTTTTTATTCATGACATATACTTTTTATCAATATTTAAAACTTTGTATGTCTGATATGCAGGATAAAATAAATTATATGAGATTATACTCATGAGTACTACTATATATGATTATTATATTTCCGAGATTATTTAATTCACTATAGTATAACTCTTACATAAAACTTTCATTTTTTTTATTATATTTAAAACCGAACTACATCTAATACTTGACAAACGTGGATTATAATTGGTATAAGCTAGTTAGGTTGGCTAAACTGCTACTATAAAAATTTAGTATTTCATTCAAGTGTTATTATATATTGTGCCAGTTAACTATTAAAAGTTTAAGTATTACACATTGTAATACACATGAAGTCAACAAATTTTTAGCAGAACAATAATAAATTTAGATTTTCAATGACGTTTCATGCAAATTAAAATTTATGTAGAGCAAAAGTATACCTAACCGATAAAATAAACTACCATTTTTTGTTAGATGGTACAAAACACATTTTTTCAGTCAATTATCAAATATTTAAAAATTGAATTTTTGTGTATTATAAGATTTGGCATCAAGCCACAGGAAACATATTTTATATAAGGCACATAGTGTAAAAAATGTATTTGTTAATTTTAAGTGTTAATGAACATATAAAATATTATTAAAGTATACTATTAAGATATAATATTGCGTAATCCAATGGGTACCATTCTAATGGAAAATCAGACATTTGATTTCACTTTTTAATTGATTTTAGAGTTATAAACACAGTAGATAATTTTTTTTACTCTTACTTTTTTGTTTTCGCGTGAAAACTAAAAAGTATAATAAAACAAAAAACATTTATATTTAAAACGTCATAAATGAATAATTCCTCAGACAATTAAAATAATAATTACATTAACGTAAAAATAACGTAAAAGGTTAAATGGAAATTTTTATTTTTGAATTTCAAGTCCTGCTTTCAGCACATTTTATGACTCATAAAAACATACATGCAGATTAATCCGCATATTGGTAATGATTAAATTAAAATATATCAACTAATGTTGAAATATTTCATAAAAATGCTGACAGTATGTGTATAGGTTAGTATATGATAACGGTGCTGATGGTACGTACACGCAACTTTTTAGTCATTTTTGTTGCTTTAAGCACTAAATATTTTTATGTTTTTACTTTGATGCGAGAATGCTATAATGTTACCATGATGAATTTATTAATGTACATAGATCCCTTCTTAGATGTCACTGGACCGGATTTTGATGGACAATACGTCAAAAAATCATTAATCGTATTTAGTTAAAGACATAACTTTAGTTCCGTACTGTCATTAGGGCAAACATATATTTATAACATATTTTATACCAATAATTAAAATACTATTATGAAAAATATACATTGTATATGGCCATTGTCGTAGGACACATAGTAACCCCTTGACTTCCAAAAATGTTAGGAGTAATTGAAAAGTAACAAACATTTTATTGGATATTTCAATAATTTAAGTTATTAAACAATTTTAAAAACATAATGAATTATTAGCAAAAAATGTTCCATAAATTTTCTAATAACGAAAAATCTCTAATTTAATACTTAATACAATTTATGAAGTATGACTATATTATAAAAAAAAAAATAGAGAACAATTATAATTTGATAACAAAATAAATGTATACAAGTAAAATAAATATAAATTAAACTTATTTTTATGTTGCTGGTACTTATTTTTCGATAAAGAAAAACCAGTAGACAACATTTTGTATGTATCTAATTATATTGAAGTAATATTATTCATTTAAAAAATAAAATTTGAACAACACAATATACCAAAAATAATATCACATTATTAAACCTATTTTAAAGTGAATTTATATTTTTATGATTATCAACTTTAAAATAATACTGATAATAGTAATATAATAACTAGTCTCGCTACGGAAACCATAGGTTTGCACCGCCATCTAGAGAAGGGGCGGCAAAAGCGAAAAGGATTTTACTTTATATTGTATTACTATATATTATTATAAATTATATTGTGGAAAAAACAGGCGACGGGTATATGAAAAAGTATTTTGTAAAATTAATCACGATTCAAATTAGGTTTACTGCCGTCCATTGCATCACATAAATTTATAATTCATATTAGCAAAATATGAGTTGTATGGGAATTAAAAAAGTATGCTTTATTGATAGTAATGTTTTCTCTTGTATTATAGCACACGAAGACCTTAAGTACATAGAAATCGCACCCGAAAAGGACGAAGATGAAGTGATCATGGAAGAACAGCCTCCGATCATGCGGCTGACCAGTCGAGTAGCGCCAGTGGCCAGCATGATGGCGCATCACCATCAGACCCTACCAACGGCACCGGCACATCACCACCGCACCTCGATTGTGGGCGATTACAGAGAACCGGTAGCACCCGCTGTAGTCCTAGATACCGTATGCGGACGCCGAACGGCAGTCAACGGCGTAACAGACCCTATCTGTGCTGCCGGCGCGGGTGCCGTCGTCGGCGCATCCGGACCGCATCCGCAGGTTGCGCTATGGCACCCGCGACCCATTTATCCGTTTCCTCTACCACTGCCCAATACTACCACTATTGGATTCTGGCACTCGTCGCAGCCACCGTTCCCGTCGTCCGGCGCTTCTTATCCACCTTACATAGACGTAAGTCGTATCATATTTTCGCTCTAAAAGTTTAAAGGAACTAAAGTTTTGAAAAATATCACAAGGGTAAAGAACACGTTTGATTTCCTTCATTGGTACGTTTCTATTAGGAGAATCGATAAATGCTAAATTTTATAGTTCTATTGTCGGAAGTAGAGGACAATCAAAGAATTACCTACACACAAACAAACAGGTTGTCAACAAAGTTACGAGATATTTTTTCGAAGGAGCCATAAACTTCACTTGCGAAACGTTACATCCTTCGGTCACCTGTCCGATTAGTTGGTATTTCCTTAACGATTCTAATTGCTGTCATAAGTAACGCGCTCCTATTTATGATTTCCAACGAATCTGTTGCCGGCCATGACAGTACACATCACCGGTTATTAATTGAACGTCCCTAGGCGTAGAAATGTCCTGTGACGTATTCCACAAATAGATTAAACTATAGACCAACCCGATGAATTCATACCGTTCGATCGAATGTATTCAAGACAACTAGTTTTCGGCACACGCGCCAAAGACTATCCTTCGAATCCTGTCCTTACAATTGCAAATCCTCACAATTGACTATTATTCCCCAGACTCTTGCCGTTAATCACCTTTAATAGTATCACCGTGTTCTTTGAATTGGTGATTATTTCCTCAGTTTTTCGATTTTTTATCGTCTCTCGCGGTCAGCGACTCTGTCGTCATTAGGCCATTACTATTAATATTATTGTTTGGCGGCGGCGGCGACGAATAAATAAAAAAAAGAGGGCTAGCAACTCGCTTGATAAAATCCGCTCGTGAGTCCGAGTTTTTTAAATAGAAATAAGAATAAAAACGGTAAAAATAACCGTGTTCGCCTTGAAGGAATCATTGCGTTGTTGCATTAAAATCACAGCGCCGGCGTTTCTATTTTTTTTTATTGCATAACACGTAAACTACGTGACGCCTCAGCAATAGGCTTTTTTTTATTTCGCCAATTACGATTAAGTATAGTCGGCGAGACTGACGGCCGAGGGAACAACTCGTAGAAAGTGGTAAAATAAAAAAGCGGCTCGGGTAGAAACAAACATTAGCACTACACCTGTGAAGAAGCTCATAAATATCAGCGGGAAAATTATTCATTTGGTCGAACGCACAATTTACGACCAACGACAACGTTATATTGTGTTCTGAAGGGTGTGACTTTTTAAATCGCTATTTTGTTGCACTTATTTATTTAAACTTTGCCTTTGAGAGTACACGTTTTTTGTCGTTGTCCCGTTGTTATCACCCCAACTCTATGGTCGCTACAGTCGACGGTTAAAGCGAACGGTCAGCCGCCGGAGTAACGGGGTGGGCGAGACTCTCAGGACCGGCCGGGAGAGACCCAGCTGAGCCTGATAAAGCTGTTAAATTACCGAGCTATGCAGACGGCTATAAAACGCAGTCAGCTTTACGATCCTCAGCCCGTTGCAGTCTGAACTTTTGTCATTTTAATGAAAGGTATTAAACGCGCGGCAATGGGTATGCAGGTACTTTCATAAATGTATACGTACATAGGTGCATGCGGCCGCCATATTATTTATTCGGTTGATTATTCTAAAAAAAAGAAGAGCGAGAGAGAGGAAGGAAGACAAACGAGTCGACGGCAGAAAGTTCCTGCAGGCGGTGCAGTTATTTTTTAACGACAATCATTCTGATGTGTTTGTGTAGTCGGTCTGGTAAAGTACAGTGCGTAACGCCGGTGTTTTTGTGTTACGGGTGGAATGACTTTTTCTGGGACAAGGATTTTTTTACGATATCATTTTTACTGGAAACAATAATTATACGCGCTTGTACAGGTATCACTATGTTGTACGAGCATTGCACTAGGAACCCATTACGTTTATTATTTGTGTATGATTATGCGTAGTAGTGAAAAATATTGCCTTTATAGGGAATAATGTACATGATATTTTGTTTTTTACTAACAAATATGTGCAACACAATTCTTTTGATTTATAAAATTTTTTATTTATACGTTTACCTAACGAACGTATATTTTATGATATTGTTTGCTCCATTTATAAGGTCAAAAAAATTCTTTGATTGATTATACTTACAGAGAATCTAATAAAGCAAACTTTCAAAAATTATTACATGAGATCAAATTCTAGAGTAAATTCAATTGGACAGTAATATTTTTAACGATTCTGGTTCAAAACTTTGTAGAAATTTGTGAATTTATACTGAAATAACTTCTTTAATTTAATTTTAGGAAAATTACAAGTCTCTTGTCTTGTTAACTCATCAAAAATTGGTCACTAATTAAAGCGACCAACAGTATAATTTCGGTAGCTCGCTTAACCAATCTGGCTCTGTTACTAGGAATCATTGAAATTTTGAATCTTAAACAAAAACTACTTATATATCTTTAAATTTGTAATTGCATTAAAATTGTTAAAAAAAATCCCAAAAACATTGCATATACATTGTTTTTCATGTGCTATTTAAAAAGCATTATTCATTTTATAATTAAGAAAATCAACAAATCTCCCAGTTGACAAAAAAATGTAAGTAAAAGCATTGTAAAAAACGATAACTATATTAATTTCTATCAAATTTAGTGTTTTCCAATTTAGTATGCTATATAAACTTAATTAATCTGTTGAACAATTAACTATTTAAATTATTCAAATAATTTTTGCCATAGAAATAATACTAAGTTAAATTTTATAAAAAAATATAAATCATTTCTCACTAGTATTTCAATCAGACTTTCAAGACGCTATAAATGAAGAGTTTATTGGAATAATCATACAAGTTTAATTTTAATGATAAAAATAATAATTTTTTTTGTGTAATTAATGTAAATATAAACTTTATGCTGAGATTATTAAAAAAAGTAAAGATTATTTCTATTAATGTAAAAATTTCCAGTAATTTCTCCTATTTTTTTTAAGAAAAATCGATGGCTAAAGCAAAAAAATAATTTTTTTTTAATCTTAATACAATTTAACTGTGAGGCATAAAATCATATCAAATTGTATTGTTTTCATTTTTTTATAATTCAATAAAACCTTACTTCTATACACTAATAAGGTAATAAAATATACATAAAGATGGAAAAATAAAATTTATCCGAAATCTCTATTTCTAAGAGTTATTGGTTATTAAAGTGAAAAATTATCCAAATTTCTGCAAAAATGGCCAATTTTGAAGTGCTTTACATAGCAACAGAATATTAATAAAGTTAAAAATGTAAATTTTGAAATTGTTTCGTATAATATCATAATCATTATAATCAAAATAATAATCATATATTCCTTACTCTATCCCTTATATTTATGGTTGGTTATGCCTTAATAATTATTTGATCAATATGGCTGTTAAAATTAGGTAAGATATGTATCATTGTTGAAGTTTCCTTATGGTCACCCATCCGGGAGCTGACGGCGAACATCAATACTACCTTGACCATATTATATTATTCATATTATGCAATATAATTACTTAACCAAAAATCATATAAATTTCAGTAAAAAATGTCGATTTTGTAGTTTTTAGCATAGTAACAGGTACTCACTTTATTCAAAATTTCTCAAATTAAATTTTATTTAATGTAATATATAATTTATAAAATAAAAACGTTTTTCTAATTATGAAAATGACTAATCGATAACAACCTTTTGACTAGTTATTCGAAAGTTATTAACATTTTTATACTTGGGCAGGGGAGAGATCCACCCGAGAAAGCCTAACAATAAATATTGTCATAACCACGTCTCACCTTCAGTCTATAATTTAAAATGGTAATAACTTCCAAAATAAAGTTATTATAGACCAATTCATTTCTTAATTAGATCATTTTTTATTCTATACTCTAGCTAAATATCTATGTTGTCACTTAAAAAAATAAAGTTGACACGCTTATAAGGGATGGCAATTTTAAAATATAGGCTAGAGAGGTGCGCACTTAAAACTATTTATGTCTGATATTTTCCGGTCACATTAATTCTTCTAATCACTTTTAAAAAATGTTAAAAACTCTGGATGTACTTGTCCAAAAGCTTTTATAGACCCCTCATTTTCTTAATTAGATCATTTTCTATTTTGTAATCTTGTTAAATATGTATGTTATTATGTTTAAAAAAAGAATTTCTCAGTTATGTAATTATTTTTAGAGTAATTAATTGGGTTATAATAAAAAAATCTTCCTTTAAAGAAAAATATGTTCAGAAACACTTTTAGATTAGATGGGAAGCTGAGAAGGTATGAGTTTTACTATGATTTTTTTTTTTTTGTGTCTGTTACCATTTTTTTTCAGCTCTTACCGAACCGATTTCTATCAACGATACATCAAAATCATATCTAGTCGAAGACATTATCTTCAAAAATTGAAAAAATTTCCTTTGTTCCCCGTAAATGAGGGAAATCTCCAAAAATATTACAAATTTAAAAATCGCTAATTTTCGACATTTTTTCGATTTTTTTTATTTAAAACTGCCATAACTTAATCAAAAATTACCAAATCAATATCTTTTTTTTTTTATAGCAATTTCTCCACAAAATTTAACTTTTTCCACTTAAGATTTGAAAATATTCTGGAAATACACCGAGTTTCAAACATAAATGAAAATAAAGCTTATGTTATGTAAAAACTAAAATAAGATTTATCCCAACTTATCTTTATTGTGAATATAGTTGCTGTAGAGAAAAAAACATGAAATATTCGTGTAAATTTACGATTTCATATTTTATTTTTTCAACTTTTTGAAAAATATATGAGTCAATACAAATTGTTCATGAAAAGTACTATTTATATACATCTTTCATTCGACATACTTTTTTTTTTAATCAGACTATTTCCGGACCGCANTTTATATATTTTTAATTTTATAATGCTATATTCTTTTTGGAAAATGTATGGAGCAATACAATTTTTCTATGATAAATACTAATTATAAACCTCTTTCATTCGACATACTTTTTTTAAAAAGTATGTTTGTTTTAAACCAATTCCCTTTATATATTTATGTATTATAAATATATTACACTTATAAATCATAAAACTTGTAATCAAGATATAAATAAGGAAATAGGAGATCATGTTGCTTTTGGATTAATCCACCAATTTTTAAAAATCAAACACTATCTAAAGATTTGCATCGAAGCGTTTTTTATGATAGTGATTTTAAACATTGTCAGATATTATCTTGACCCAACTAGCCCACGTAACCATTGTGTCACAACCCCACTGTGCTGGGTCTTTTTATTATAAGTCAAAATAATTTAATTTAAAAAAATTTATATACGCACTGTTTCAAAATAAACGACGATATATTAAGGTATTACAGAAGAAATCATATGATTCAATATTTTTTTTTTAAACCTCAGATATTATGATGTTATAAAATATGGTAATTAAAAACAAATACATATATTTTATCTATGCAAATTTATAATATCTTATTCAATTTTATACATTTATATGGCATCTTTAAAATTAAAGCATTTCTATGGCTTCTTTAAAATGTTTAGCATTTCTATGGCTTCTTAATTTCATACATTTATATGGCTTCTTTAAAATTAAAGCATTTCTACGGCTTCTTTAAAATATTGAGCATTTCTATGGCTTCTTTAAAATGTTGAGCATTTCTACGGCTTCTTTAAAATATTGAGCATTTCTATGGCTTCTTTAAAATTAAAGCATTTCTATGGCTTCTTTAAAATGTTGAGCATTTCTATGGCTTCTTTAAAATATTGAGCATTTCTATGGCTTCTTTAAAATTTTGAGCATTTCTATGGCTTCTTTAAAATATTGAGCATTTCTATGGCTTCTTTAAAATTAAAGCATTTCTACGGCTTCTTTAAAATATTGAGCATTTCTATGGCTTCTTTAAAATGTTGAGCATTTCTACGGCTTCTTTAAAATATTGAGCATTTCTATGGCTTCTTTAAAATTAAAGCATTTCTATGGCTTCTTTAAAATGTTGAGCATTTCTATGGCTTCTTTAAAATATTGAGCATTTCTATGGCTTCTTTAAAATTTTGAGCATTTCTATGGCTTCTTTAAAATATTGAGCATTTCTATGGCTTCTTTAAAATTAAAGCATTTCTACGGCTTCTTTAAAATATTGAGCATTTCTATGGCTTCTTTAAAATGTTGAGCATTTCTACGGCTTCTTTAAAATATTGAGCATTTCTATGGCTTCTTTAAAATTAAAGCATTTCTATGGCTTCTTTAAAATGTTGAGCATTTCTATGGCTTCTTTAAAATATTGAGCATTTCTATGGCTTCTTTAAAATTTTGAGCATTTCTATGGCTTCTTTAAAATATTGAGCATTTCTATGGCTTCTTTAAAATTAAAGCATTTCTACGGCTTCTTTAAAATATTGAGCATTTCTATGGCTTCTTTAAAATGTTGAGCATTTCTACGGCTTCTTTAAAATATTGAGCATTTCTATGGCTTCTTTAAAATTAAAGCATTTCTATGGCTTCTTTAAAATGTTGAGCATTTCTATGGCTTCTTTAAAATATTGAGCATTTCTATGGCTTCTTTAAAATTTTGAGCATTTCTATGGCTTCTTTAAAATATTGAGCATTTCTATGGCTTCTTTAAAATTAAAGCATTTCTACGGCTTCTTTAAAATATTGAGCATTTCTATGGCTTCTTTAAAATGTTGAGCATTTCTACGGCTTCTTTAAAATATTGAGCATTTCTATGGCTTCTTTAAAATTAAAGCATTTCTATGGCTTCTTTAAAATGTTGAGCATTTCTATGGCTTCTTAAAAATATTGAGCATTTCTATGGCTTCTTAAATTTTATACATTTATATGGCTTCTTTAAAATATTGAGCATTTCTATGGCTTCTTTAAAATGTTGAGCATTTCTATGACTTCTTAAATTTCATATATTTATATGGCTTCCTTAAAATGTTGAGCATTTCTATGGCTTCTTAAATTTTATACATTTATATGGCTTCCTTAAAATGTTGAGCATTTATATGATTTCTTTAATATTTTGAGCATTTCTATGGATTATTTAAAATTTGAGCATTTTTCTGGCTTCTTTAATATTAAAGCATTTATATAGTTTTTTTAATATTTGAGAAATTCTATGATTTCTTTTATATTCTATATATTTATTGTTTAATTTAAACTACTTTAATTAAAAACGTGCTTTAGTCTTGAACATATACACATTTTTTTTAAACTATTATAAATATAAATATATATATATATATATATTGACGTTCCTTATTTTATTTGGTACTGAAATAACGCTAAAAAATACAAAATAAGCAATTTGCACTTCGACATATGCAAAATTACGCAACATAAAATATCATATTTAGCTTATTGGTTTTCCAAAACAAATTTTTAATTAACGTAGGTATCTCTAGGACCAATAATATATATATATATATATGTATGTATATAACATAATGCTAGAAGTTATGAGCCTTGGACATGACAGATTAATAACATAATAAAGTTTTAATAAAAAAAATATTAAAACTACTTATTAGTTTTCCAGTTTTAATTATTTCTAATTTCTTATATCGCTTAAATAATAACTTAACATTAAATACATAATATTTTTACATTTAAAAATAATAACAATAAGCTAATATAGAATTGATTAATAAATATAATTAATAACAGAGATACATATTTAAAAAATTCAAATACAAAAATCATCTAAGATAAAAGTTATGCTGAAATTTCGATTAAAGTTATGGTTTTTAAAGTTTTTTTCAGGTTTCATTGGGTTTTAGCTATTTAATTTTCAATGGGATTTGGTTTTTTTTATTGGTTAATATATCTCAAAAAATTACAATCTTTTAAAACGACAATTTTTTTCCGCGGTTTCAAATGACTGTACTTTCATAAATATGCATAGTTTAATTTAAAATTATAATTGGTAAAATAGTGTACAATTGCCTTTTTATCTATATCGACTTCTCAATGACAAAACCGCGTAACTCGATAGTTCAAAATTACTCACGAAAACGAAAAGAAAACACCTTTTACAAATAGCTAACAATATAATTAGGTTTCTCAATTATCTCAAAGAACAATTTAATAATAGCGATATTTTATTCCAAATAGGTTTAAAATATGCATTAATATAATAAGCATGTATTTTTAGGGGAAAAAAATATCAAATTTTGTCTTGAAGACTTTTTAGAAATTCGATAAATTACGTAAGTATTTTATTAATTTAAAAAAAACTACAGTAGTTTTTTTATTCAATTCATGGAAATTTTCTGACAATTTTGACAACTTATAGTATACGCAAAATTAATTAACACGGCTTATTTTCTATAAGTAATTTACCATATAAAAAAAAAAACGTTAAATTTTACAAACGAAAACACAGCAAATAATATTATTATTATTAATCAATCATATATTTGTAACTGCTACAAAATATTTGTTTGCTAGATAATTTCTTTTTTTTTCTACAAACAAAAATTTTTATTTAATTAACAAAAAATTATAGTCTGTATTTTAATAATTAATTTGTTGATTTTATTAATGTTTTATTTTTAAATATTTTGACTAGTATCAAATTAAAGTTATACAATAAGATTTTTTTAATAATTTGTTGAATAAGTTCTTAGAGTACAGGTTTATTGGGATTCTGTCTCTCTTCCAATAAAAAAAATTACCATCTGTCCAAAAAAAATTTACCAAACTCTCTTCAAATATTATGACTGGTTGAGTTGAACGACTATGTATAACTTTGTATCACGATTTGTATTTAAATATGTATATAATCTAATATCATTAGATTATCATTCAGCTACAATTACGATTCTTTGCCAAGTATGACTCGATAAAAAAGAATAGTAGTATCAATAATGCTACAAATGTTTGATGTCGGTTCGGCATTTTTTACTGCGTACCACTGCATGCAAATTATTTTAAGGGTAAAAGATGTTTTATCATGAGTTTAATTTTATTCATTTTCAAGGGCAGCGAACTCCTTTAATATTTGTTTATGATATACCGGTAACTTATTTATGGATAATCTTACTTAATACCGTGCTCGAACATTTACCAAAGTTTCTTTGCAATCGGATAAAAAGAAATCTAAGGAAAAAAAAACAACATTAATTTTATACATTTTTAAAGATAAGTGTATTTGTGTGTAAAATATGTGTAGAATGTTGCGTATATAAATGAATTTTGAATTTTTATCTGAGCTTAGCTAACTCAAACTTTACCAAGTCCAGCATTTAAGTAACCACTCGGTCCTTGATCCGGTGACGATAGGCATTTTCAAAAATCGAATAGGTAGTTTGGTCGACTAATATGGTATCAATATACCATGATCTCTTATTTTAGCGTCGTCCCAATTGTGTTTTCAACTTAAAGAGTTATTACTACTTATTTCTGTACCAAAATATACTGATGGAATTTGAAATGTCTATTCACACGTTTAGGTCTCAACAAAAGCATATTGGTTCCAATCTATAACTAATAGTAAATGCGATATTTGTTATTCCAACGTTTATCGCAAGAATGAGTATAGTATCTGAAATGGTCACTCGGTAATAGCTCCGTAAATAGAATTTTTTAAAGTCATAGAAGAGCGTTCAGAACACACGTTGTAATGGAATATACGGTCCGCTAAGGATAGTAAATCGGAAATCTCATAACAGCAGCACGTGATGTTGTACCTCACGACGACCTGTCTACGACCATTACAACGGTCGACCCTCGTGTATTAAATATTAACTGTAATATTGATCAGACCTAACAGAGGCACAAATATTTATAAAAACGGAACACGACCGAAACAAATAGATTGTTCACCAGTTGCATTTGTGCTAAGATGCAGAATTCGTTCACTCAATATTTAAGTACGTTTAATGAGATCACGAAGAGCTACCGCAAAATTTAGCGAATCAACACAAAACAATTTGCAATAGGAATCGGTCCACGAGGTGTTCCTACAAACCGGAATTTCCAGTCTGGAACCTACAGCTTTACGTGGGTGGTTTTATTACGTTATTGCAAAAAAACAAACAACAACAGCAGTTGTACCATTCCGTGGCGGCCACAGCCTTGATCGCGTTTGCCTAAATGATTTATTCGCGCGTAATGTATCCGATGCACACGTAGTACGCGAACAACACAATTAGAAATATTAATAAACTATTTGACCCTCATCTGTCCTACGTGTTTACTCCGCAAAAAAACCTACTGGTGAGGTCAAACCGATTACAGCGGTGTTATTACATCATATCCACGTACGGCCGGGAAAAACGGTTTTTTCAGCTTGAAATTAATTTTTTAGTCGTCGTAGGCGGGATCCACATTGTACTATCTGAACTGGATGATTTGTTTTCCGTTTGACGAGTTCATTTTCCATTTAAAGAGACCACGAGGGCGCAGAGGCTAGTTAGTGATCAACGGCTGACTAGCCCGAACAATTTCTAGGCGCTCGTGAATTTTTACCGTACTAAACTGCGAAAAACTAAGCGGTTTCTTTCGTTTTTACAATTAACAAGTGGTGATCTGAACTAGTCTTCTATTTACGGTCAATTCGTCGAGCTTAACGCGATGGACCTTATTTACATACACGGAAAGTTCACATGTCCGTCCGTGCATGGTGAACGAGTACTTAATATATTTGCACATATAAATGTNAATTTCTAGGCGCTCGTGAATTTTTACCGTACTAAACTGCGAAAAACTAAGCGGTTTCTTTCGTTTTTACGTTTACCACCAGTGGTGATCTAGTCTTCTATTTACGGTCAATTCGTCGAGCTTAACGCGATGGACCTTATTTACATACACGGAAAGTTCACATGTCCGTCCGTGCATGGTGAACGAGTACTTAATATATTTGCACATATAAATGTGACCATCCTTGGGCGAGGGTCGACGGTCGGTCTATTGCTGTGCGTACATTTCAGAGTGATATAATTATTGTTGTGAAGGGTCGCGACTAATGCAGATGATTGTCTGTATGTGCGCGGAGGTCTGTTTTAATGGAGTTGATGGAAACGGTAGTACAATTTTATTGTACAACGACCTATAATGTAATGTATTCAGCAAACGAATGAAACGGGGCACCTTGGGAAATCTTCCACGGGGGGTCGGAGGAAAAACCTATTCAAAGCATACAATATCCAGCGTTATCTTTTTGTCAACGTAGTTATTGAAACCAATTTACAGCATTGTGAATAATATCGTACCAATAATTGTAAACATCATATCATGTACAATAACATTGGCGGTACTCTCATAAATAAGTGTGAAGAACAAAGAATTTGGGGGAAAAATTTTCTTGCAAATGTAGTACATGGAAAATAATTTCCCAATCATTTTGGAATAATTTGCAAATATATGTCTCGTTTTTTCCATGTTTAATTTAATGTATATTTTTTATCGAAAAAAATTAGAAGTACTTAAATATTAATTAAAATACTTCTGGTCGCCCTCGGGGGCATCTTCGGATAATTTTTCTGTAGATGAGTGCGGATTAAAAATATTTGTACTACTAGTTAGGAAATAATTGGTACAAATAGTGATTTGAACTCGAGGATGCTCCAGCTCCAAAGACCAAAAAAAAATTCCCGCCCGATCTTATTGATTGAATTGTGACATTCCACACCCAAAGAAAAACCTCAATCAAAATTGAAAGAGAAATTTTATCAAGGGTTTATGATAATGTTTTATTAATACGAACAAAATAACTATTCTTATAAATAATTATTGTTCAAGACAAGAAAAAAAAATATCATATTGATAAATATATCATTGATTCAATGGTAATGATATATTTATCAAATTGAACAATGAATTTATTATATAGATCGAGGTTTTTCTCTGGGTGCAGTGTGAAATTACAAATAATATCGTGAATAGTCATAATATAACTGATGAATATAATAATGATGTATTAATACAACATACTAAATGTAATAGTATTGAACAAAAATAAAACACTTTTTAAGAACTCTATATAATTCCAACTAGTATCAATGTTTTATTTATAACCTTAAAACGTAATGACCAACAGGCAGCATAAATTAATTATAGCTAAGTTAACCAACAAAGTATAATTATGGCTACCAGACGTCCGTATTTTTGAGGGTCGTCCGTATCGTCTGTATTTTTCATGAAATTATCAAAAATTTTCAAAAAGTTATGTGCATGAAAAAATGTACGTGAAGTGGCGAGTAATTGGAGAATTCTGTCACATTCTCTCTTATTTTGCTCTGAGAGGCGAGAAAGAGAGAGAAAATATATGTGAAAATGGGCAGAATCAGGCAGACTATAAGTTTGAGTAGTGACCAATCATGCCATCATATGGCACTGAATCAAAATATCGATGAAATTAAGAATATGTTTTATTGATAAGGTATATAAGAGAGATATTGCATTGCGAATACTTGAGATGTTCATTATAATATAATTATTCAGACAATAAAACCAATTGCAGAATGAATATGTATGTGACTTATAATTTATTGAAAATTGATAAAATAAGTCGTAAAATCAAGTAAAATGTCAATCTAGATTATCGATCATCGATTCCTATTGATAACAATTAATTTCTATCGATTCTCATTCATTTTCATAAATGCGCATCACCTATCACGCAAACAAATTAAAATATTTTTTTTTAATATGATTATTTCTTCTACTTTTTGAAAAAAAAAAAAAAAAATTTTATTTTCCAATTATCAATAGGGGGGGGGGTAGGTTTTGATATGTCCGTATTTTTCACTCGGAACATCTGGTAACCCTAAGTATAATACATTTTTATTAAAAAAAAATACAGCTCAGCAATGGCTATATGTGTTCCTGTGTACATGGACAAATAAAATCTATCTATCGTAAGACTGTTTTTTTCACCGTTAAAATGAAAGCTGAATACATTAATTAAAATTAAAGTTACAATAATTTTTGGACCTTGAGAAAAAAATTTAAAAACAAAAATATCTGACAGCTCTTCATCATTGTACTATATTTATTATCGACAAACGCGTAGAAATTGCATATAATTAACACTTTTTAGATGTAGAATTTTTTTATATTGTTAAACTAATACATTTCTACGAACATAATATTCTGATATTCCGGACCGTTATAATTAGCTCATTACGGCCGCACTACCAATCAGAGTGTACGTGCGTGTCATTACACTGAGGGTTGACATGTACAAGACGTGACGGGGCCTGTAACTCGTTGTTTTCGCTTTATACGCGTACCTCCCCTTTGTCGGCACAGTATCATCGATGTGTACACATAATGCAATTCTATACATTTTAATAGTGTTATTATCGCGCACGGAGTGTCCTGGGACGAGTAATTAAAATCATTTTTTTCCTCTACCTTACTGGCACGCAAATCGGCAAACATACGCAACGGGCCGAGTCGAATCGAAATCCAATACCGCCCCCACATACTTCAAGTTTCAACTAACCATGACCGTCAACTAATCCGTGTCGTAAAACAACAAAAGTGATCGGGGCACTTTTGGCGTGTCTGCAGTTCACACTCATCAGTAACATTAACCCGACACCGTTCTAGCAGCAGCTCTTTATCCGACGGTACATGAAGTTCAACAAGTGTATTTTACCTTTTTATTGTGGTAATATTTCCAAGTTCACCCGCGTTTCAATATTATGACATAACCAATATTCGCAATACGTACTTTATTGTACACAACTTAAGTTTCAAATGGCAACGTAGTGTACTCACTTTTCTCTACCCCTTCAAGTAGCCACCTGCAAGGACTTTCTCGAGGTTTGTGAGGCCCGACGCAAAAATAATTCCGATACTGTCTACTTCATATTTTATTTTGCGACACCATAATTAAACAAAAGCCCTTAGGCCCTGTTAACCCTTACCTTCCTTAAGAATAGTTCAGATCGCCCGCTAATAATTTTTACTCAGTTATTACCACTAATCTCATCGAAATGTACTTAAAAGTCCGGAACAAAGCACAGTATTGTTAATGTACAGTTAGAATAGTTTTGAACTCGGCTCACTTGGGTTGTAGCTGTTTCTGACACACTCGACTTTCAATTTATTATGAAGCATACATAAAGTCAGTATTTGTGTCTATAATACAAAAACACTATAGGTACCTATATAGCAATAAAATGTTTTACGATTCTGTTTATTAGACTATAGATGCATATATGAATTTTTTTTCAACGCTGATGAATAGAGAACATTAAACGAGACATGCGAGAAGACGTAATAAAAATGCGCATACAGTCTTGAGCATTAAAACTTGAAATCCTTATGACTTATAAGAAATAGTTAGGTCGTTATACGTTGTTAGTATTATTGGAATTTTATGGTGTTAGGACCTCATTGGTGACAACAATGAGCTGTACTCAAGTCTCCGTCATAATTATTTCCGATGTATTTTGTTTGATAGGACTTTGTATATAAACATGTTGTTATTATAATGTCAAGGCACAAAATAACACTGGAAAATGGCGACTTATCGGATTAGAAATTATTATGTGAGCGATCGAGGAATACCTTCTCGGTGTTGTACTAAATTTATTTTACACGTTAATAGTGAAGTCGAACTGTTTCACACAACACTCCTGTAACTTCAACTCATTTCAAAGAACTCACATGGAGGGGCTTGTGTTTTTTTATCTCAGTCTATTTCCCCACGCGCCATTCAAAGCAAAACACAATAATTACATCTAATTGTACTAACGCGAAAATCGATTATGTTGACAGGGCGAATGGTCCAGACACTGTAGGCTGCCAATTTTCAACCCGGAACCGCAACCGGAACCCGTCAACTTGCACAACAACCATCATCGGAGGGAGAACAGGTCATTGGAGGTGGTGGAAAGACCTGAACGGGTACACAACCGGCCCCTACTCCAACCGGCCGTACAACCTCAAGACGACCGGGAATCGACTAGGCATCACGCTTAGCTTAGGAGTCTGATGGGACACATCTGTTGACCGAACTTACGGATGTGTGAATTTTTATTATTATTATTATTATTATGTCTATATATTTACTATTTTCCAAACTTCTTGACGCTCACGAGATGCCGAAGAAGTTTTCCGGACATCGTCATTTTTTATGTTTACTATCCTCGTTTCATATTATTATATATTGTACATATATAACTATTGAGTTTTTATATTATTCTGTAGGCGACACAATTTGATTCGCATTACCATTAGAATACTATGCGTTTTTGTTTTTTTTTACCCGGCAAGACATTTGATACCATTTATGTAAATCCATTAGCGGGAGATGAACTGTCCAATTATTCAGTTAGTTAAACGAGAAAAATATTTTATGCAAATTATTATAAAGAAATTAATCAAACAATATCATTATGTTATAATTATGTTTAACCAGAATGACTTTCAAGTGTGTTAAATTTTCCAAAACTAATACTGGAAATGCGTGTGTGATTGTAAGGCATTTAGAGACGTAGTGCATAAGTAGAGAATGACTTGTCATTATGAATTACATACAGTTATTTAATTTTGTCTATTAATTTTATTATTGCATGCGTTTATATAGTTATTAAAGTTAGTATTACGCGTGTTCTTTAAAATACCGAATATATATAAATATATATATATATATATATAATTATTGTAGCAAACACGAAGATATTATTGAAAAATGTTTATAATATTAATAAGTATGTGTAAAACCATGAAATTTAAAAAAACAACCTTACAAGTATGTAATGATTATTTTATTTTTTATTTTTTGACATATGTATGTTACACTGTTATTATTTTAAGATTATACAATGTTATTATTTTGGTTATTAATATTGTTCATATAGTTGCATATTATGATGAACTGTTCAAAATACAATGTAAACTTTATTGAATTAAATTATTATTAAATATTTTCTGAACTAAGTTAGTTTTTAAAAAAGTTTAATATTAAGTAATTTGCGTTAGAGTTGAAATAAACCTAGTATGTAGAAAAAATATTATGTTTTATTACAACGGACACCTGTTTTTTTTATATATGCCATCATCATTTAACAAAACTAATCTAGATCTCAAAAATTTTATTTGTACGAGTCTTTCAATTTATTTTCCTCTAAAAAATATTCATGATATTTACATGGATCTCATGTATATATTCTTATTTGTAAATGAATAGGAAAAATAAATAAAACACATCGTTTTAAAATTAATACCTTTTTAGATTCGCATCGAAAAAGCTGCAAACATCATTAACCTTTTGGAGTTAATGTAATTAAACAGAGGCAGCTCCCTTCATTTCTAAAATGAAATCAATAGTCCCAAATAAACGAATGAAAATTGATTCCAAATAATATTCACTAGTTTCAGTAAAAATACTATTTTTTTTTTATATGAAGGTAAAACAAAAATCGCCAATTAAACCATCTTTAAAAAATCTAAATAAAATCGGTAAATACTTTAAGAACAGAATGTAGAAATTGAAACAGTTACTACAACTCAAAAATCTCGTTAAGTGTTAGAAATCAAAAACCTTTAGACTACCTACCTGATATTGGCATAGTTGCATTTGTATGAGATGCCAAAGCCTAATAATTAAACCTAATCCTAATAATTAAATAATGCTTCTAGGGGGGTACAAAGTAAATGGTAGAAAATTAGTTCTATAATACTAATATATAAATTAGAGCACGGGACTATGTTAAAATCCAAATAAAAAAACTTAAAAAATGAATCGTATCAAAAACCTAATCTAAAAACCGGTGTATAAATACTAAATATTTAAAACTTGATCCATCAAAAATAAATTTAAATTTCACAATTATATGTTGTCAAAAAAATAAAGACTTGAAATTTAATTGTAAGCTAGAGATTATAAATTTATGTAGTGTTTTTGAAAGGTATAAGAAGAATGACAGAAAATAAATAAAAAACGTCATTGATAGTCTAAAAGATAATATATTTGACAATGAATAGACCGAAAGAACTGTCAAAAACATTCTTCTATTCAAAAGAGTAAAAATTCATTATAGATCAATACGCAATTTGTCTTATTGTATCGAATGGACTAAACAAATTTGGTCATACTGACTATATATGACTTTATCTAAAAGTGATATACATGAAAAATGCATAGAAAATTTCACTAGCTTCCTTAAAACGTGTTAAAGATATAATTAGAAGAGTTAGTAAGATGTCTATAATTATTTTTATTTTTGTTTTAACTTCCCCTTGAACAAATTTTGAACATGCTACTGATGTTTACTTTAAGTAGGATTACTAATATAAATTTAATTAATTAATATTTACATTAAATCTTGTCTCTAATTTGTACTGCTTCGATGAATTTTAAGGTTTTTACTATGTTATAAAGTTAGTTTGATAAATTTTCTTGTGGACCAATGGTCAGTCTATTGCCTTCAGTATCGTTTTGCGGCATTCAAGTACAATATGTTTTCAGTTCCTCGTGTAGTTTGACAATGGCCAGACATCTTTTTTTTAGTGTTTCGGACAAAAATTACAATTTTAGTACTAGGAGCTCATGAGAGTCGTTGATAAGTAACGTAATTTTTTATATCAACTGACCGATTAATGTTGGTGGCTACATGAAAAGCATGAACATCATATAGAAAACCTGGAAATATGATCGCATACATTAGTCTTAATAAATTCCTGGTATTAAATTTTAATGTTTATCGTAAAATGCCGATGACAGTCTAAAATATTGACTATGTTAATTCATTACGCGTACCTCAGGAATTCTTGATACGAAATTTCAATCTTATTAACTTTTAATTAAGCGGCATAGACATCTTAAAATATCAAATATTTATGAGCCCAAATTTGTTCGAGAAACGCAAGATATATTCATTTTGATATTATTAATAATCGCTATTTAATTTTTTTGTTCACGATTGTTTCAAATTCGATCCTCAAATACCTTTAAAATTTCCTATGCTCTACAGTCTAATGCGGTTTGCGCTCAAGATAAGATATTTATATTTAAAACCGCGTTCTAAGCTTTACTCATGTTTACATAAAATAAATACTATGTTAGTTGAGTAAATAAAATTTTTACATAATGGATTTATACATGAAGAAAATTTTTATTACATCTCCTTTGATCAAAATAAAATTCATTATTTTCAAATTTGAAGACTATTATTTCAACCAAGTATACAATTAATCATATTTTTAAGCAATAGTATTCCAAAAGAAGTCGAGTATTTACATGATCAGGTACAAAATAATATTAAATAAAAGTAATACAGATAATCTATAGCAATTTAAATAATTTGTATTTCATTAAATATTGATTTTTATATTAGTGGACTTTTGAGATGACTCTAATTAAATAATACTAATTATATATATATATATACAGTTGGACTACGCTAACCTAATAAAAATATACTTTAATATAAAACTAAAACATAGACTATATACAAGTAGAAGAATAAAATTATTTCAACAGTAGTCATGATAGTATACATAGATAACGTACCAAAAATAATTCTGTGTACCCGAAATTACTTTTGTCTGACATTATTATATTATTGCTTAGACCATAGGTATCTAATGCATTATTTGTATACATACATTTTAGTTGTCTAATATTAAATCACATTAAATAACTTAAAATACAATTGTACTAGAATAATTATTCATAAAAAATTGAATTATGTAAACACTTATAAAAAAAAATGTCAACAATTAAAACTCAAATTTGATAAAATATTCATATAAAAAATATATAACCCTAAAATATTCACAATTAACAGCCTTTTACAATAATTAGTGATGTATCATCTAAGAATTGGATTCTTATTGGATAAAACATTTTTTAAATCTTCAGGTAATGAACTTATGATGTCATCCATTTTCACTTTTAATTGATCTTTTATTTTCTTATTCAATGGATATCCTTTATTTTCACATTCTTCTAATTTTTCACGTATTTTCAATATCATATCAACAACTTCCACCTCTTCTTTTCCCTCCATCCATTTATTTATATCCTAAAAACATTTAAGGAATTACTTGATATTAGATAAATGAAAATTGTTTTCTCTATATTACCACACTAGAAAGAGCCTCAATTTGTAATACTTGGAGTTTCATCATCATTCCATTATACCGAACATTATACCAACCATTAAAATTAGGAGATCGAAAGAATTGTTTGTAAAGACCTTTCCAATCTCCTTTAATACCACAGGTAAGTTGAGGTCCTAAATTTCCCAAACTTGCTAAAAATTCATCAGGGTTGAATGGGCAAGGTTTTGGTGCAGCCTAAAAAAAAAAAAATTTTCTAGTTATAAAAATTGCATTTATCATATATTAAAATAATGTATAAATTCATTATATCATACCTTAAAAGGTGAGACATTTCTTTGCAAAGGCATTAATGAAGTTAAATATCGTTCAAGAGGTATCATAAAACTTTGAGTTAACTCTAAGAAATGCCGTCTAAGCAAAGCTGATTGAACTTCTTCTGGTCTTTTGTTTTGCATTCCTCTTACAAGTTTTTTTACAATAGACTTATCTTTTTGAAGGAATGATTTGTACTGTGTATAAACTCCTGGCTTAGAATCTAAGATTTTTAAACTGGATCCTTTTATTAATTTATTTTTTGATGAACATTCTAAATTTTTTTAATAAAAAAAATGTTTGGTTTTTTTTTAATTATTAATAAGTATTACTGTTAGGAAATATAAGTTAACAAGTAACTAAACTAAAAAAAAATTACCTTTTTTTGATGAATCCACAACTCTTACAATATGTGGCCAATGCTGTAACGTTTTTGAAAAATATGGATTTGTAACACCAAGTATTATTGGTGGTGGATTTAATGTTTTACTCATATACTCCTTAAACTCATTATCATGTATCGTAAAATATGGTCTATAATCTCCATAGTAAGCCAAAGGTACTATTAGGCTGCGAAATTTAAATAAATACTATAAGCCAGTCAAAAATTTAAATTAAATTAATAAAATAATATTTACCTAACTAATGCTTGAACTATTTGAGAACAATAAGTTGGAGATGAAGCCATAACAACAATTGGTTCAGAAGTCAACACAAGTTCCCACAAAAGATGAAGTTGACTAACAATTGATGAAAAACAATCAAATGTGTTTAACTCATAAAGAGATGAAACAACAACTGGTAGTTGGTAATCAGGGACCATTGAATTTGATGTATTGCGTATCTTATTATTATCACACACTAATTGAGCCTAAAAAAATATATACACATACACATATATATATACAGTAAACTCCCGATTATCCGTGGAATAGGGTGGCAGGACATCCACGGATAAACGAATTCCGCGGATAATCCGCAAAATTAAATTTTACAATAAAAACTAAGTTGAAATTGAATTTATTTAAATTTATTCACAATATATTTATAATAATAAATATAAATTATTAAAATAAATAATATTTAATATTTAAATAAATGTTAAATGAATAAATAATTAATTAAAAAAATCAGTCAAAAGTTTTTGTTTCTTTGTTTGAAAACTCTTCTTTTTAACTTGTGATTGAAGTTTTTTTAATAACATTTTGTCACACAGAGTTGTATCGTCTTGTTCTTCTAGATATTTAATGATCCCGTCTATATGTTTTAGAGCTTCTTCATGGCTCACTTGCTTTACATCATTTATTTCATCGTTTTCTTCTTCTTCACCTTCACTTTCCGAAACTGTATCTAATGCTCCACTTACTATTTGTTCATCACTAAGACGCTCAAATCCTGGATCATTGGCATCACAATTTATCCACTCATTAATGTTTTCTTCGTCAAAATTCTCTCCTCCAGTAAGAGATTTAGAAAAATTAGCCAAATCAAAAGCAGACACTTCTTCTTCTTCCTCTATCAAAGTATTTTCCACACACGGTAAAATTTTTCTCCAAGACTTGACTAACGTAGTTTGCTTAACTAACCCCCAAGCAGTATTTATGTCATAAATGCTATCAAGAATTGTGTAATCTTTCCAAAAACTTTTAAGATCATTGCCCTCTTCAATTCTTTTTTTAAGCAAACTTGTTCTATAATTTTTTTTTATAGAAGCAATTACCCCCTGGTCCATTGGTTGGATGAGAGCTGTGACATTAGGAGGCAAAAATNTGTCAAAATTTTCTTCTTTTGCTTTTTTTTCTTAAAATTAAAAAAAAATATTACTTTTTTTTTAAATAAATAAATATTACTATGATATTATTATAGTCCAACAGTATTATAATTTAAAAAAAAAGTAAAATATTAATTCGATCAAAATTTATAGAATTTTTCAGAACAAGCTGGATCACCCTGCATATACTCGCTCTATTGTAATTATTTTCTGCACATAAATTTAAAAATATATAGATGGGATTATTTTTTTAACTATAAAAATATAAAAATTTTTTAAATCATTGTAATTACCTGTAAAACTATTCCTAGTAATGGCAAACTAACAGTTTCTCCAGCATACAATGCTGGCCATTGCTGAACATCATGCCAAGCAACTTCTATACCTGTTAAACCATGCTTAAAATATTCAGGAGCTATTGTTCCACAAACTTCAGAAAATAGACTAATAAATGGCAATTGAGAGAGTACAATAACACTCTAAAAATATATTTAAGTTTATAGTTGACACAAGTTATATAAATATTGTCATAATTATAGTATTAGGTACAAGGCTGCCACTAGAAGTTGCAGGACTTTTAATATATATATTTTTTTTTAGTGAAAAAAGGACATTTTTTTTAGTTAACAACTGAGATTGCAGGGACTTACATTACACATCCTTAGTGTCAATAATGATTAGGTAAATTATTAGTTTTATCAAGCCAAATATCACAAAAAACGATTATTATTATTATTTATATTTTAATGTATTAATGGTAATATAAATAAGATAACTTTTTAAATACTAGCTTTTATATAACAAAATATATACAAATTAACATATGAAGTATAATTAGCTAATATTTACAAAAATTAACATACTTTTTGGAAGTAACCTCTTGGAAGAGACAAATCTTTGATTTGTCGGAAAAATACAAATCCATATAAGCAACGGTTATCAGCTTGAAGAAAAACTGGACATTTACTATTGTAATTGATATGACATTGACTGAGGGTTTGAGACTGTGAACATTTGATTTTAATGTGAAACTGTGTATCTCCCATACAACCTGAATTTGAATCTGGGAAAGCAAGATAACACAAATTTGTTTTATCTTCTTCTGACAATAAAACATTACTAGGGTACAATAGCTAAAAATAAAGAAAACTATTTTAATATTAGCAAATATAATAAAATTCGAGTCTAGTCTACCTCTAAAGCTTGTCCAAACTCCAAATCAAAGGTAACAACACAAATGCCCTTGATCCAATCAGACAATGCAACATTGTTGTCACTGAATGGATTTTCAGATAAACACTTGGCCATTTTAACTTACACATGAAGAAAATAAGTTAAGTTATTTAAAAAATAAAACTATTTTACACAAACTTTTAAATGAAGAGTTAAAAAATAATTTTTAAGCCATAAAAACACACTATACTATTTAATACTTTAATACGGAACAAATAGTACGTCTGTGAAGTTAGCTCCCGAGACTCAGCGCCCAACCACAAACTGANCACTGATACCTAATTATAGTTTTACTATCTTTAAGCTAAATAGCATGGAATTAAAATAACTTATTTTTAAAAAGTGAATCAACAAAATTAGATACAATAGGTTTAAAAATTATACAGGAAATAAGATTTAAATTGTATACATTTTTGTCACATTGATACTTGGTGATAATTCTGCTATCGTTTATAAAATTGATAAGAATAATTGATAATAAATAATATAAACATGGTTCAATTTCAATCTCAGCAATAGATATTATAAGAATGGATCTGCTGTAGGGGTAGCAAGCATTTATTGCAATGTAAATTATATAAAAAAAAAAGAATATCTGGTTTTTCCATTTTCGCACGCAACCCCTTTGTGTTAACTCTACATCTTCTTATAATAATTTGCTAATTAAATACAACAATCTTCATTTTCTTCTGTTTTAAATAATGACTAGAAATTATTAAGCTTAATCTTGTGATCGACAAACCCGTTGACCAAATTCAGTTATGTAATAATTTATACATGAAATAAATATAGATGTTCGGCAATATTCTTCAATAGATTTTGTGTTGAATATTCATTCAATATACCTGTTTTCCAACATCTCTTGACATTGTTATTTCCACTTGAAATTTTTCAACCAATTTATAAATATCTTGAAATACATTTTAACTGTAAAAATTTTAATTTCTTCTAAAGTTAATCTTAAATACATGTTAACTTTTTGCAAATGTTCCAAAAGGGGTAACCTAAATCCAAAACCTTTTGATAATACAATTAATGCAATAATAAATTCTTCATCCAACAAGATTTTTGTAAATGTTTTGCCTTTCCACTAGTATTGTTATCATTTCAATCTATTTCAAAATAAGCGTCGACAAAAAAATTAAAAAGCTCCGAAAAATGTATAGCGTGATATCTTTCAATACACCTCGTAACACAACTATGTTTAGTGTTTTTTTTTGTTGTATCGAGAAAAGGATTTCGAATTTTTTCGCTTAACAAATATGAAAAAAAAACTTGAATTGCACCAATTAAACTTAAACAGGTGATAATTGTCCATAAACTACATGATTTAGAGACAAGATATCAAATATTAGCTGAACAATGAACATAAATTTCAGAAAGATATATTTGTATTATGTAAAGTTTAACGCTTTTATTGTTTCCTGACAACTGCAGCTCCATATGCTTAAAATAACTATTTTTTTGTAAAATAGTTTTCTTTTCTAAATTAATTTATATATAGTTTCGAATAAGATTTGGTTTTCCAGCGCCAAGAAAAATGTTCAGTCTGAAACCCTAATCTACTAGTTCAGTTTCTGCAACGACAATAATCTTATTTATATATTTTAACTCATAAATTGTAGTGTTTAATTTAAAAAAGAGGTGTAATTTCATTTTTGAGCCATAGAAAGTTACATGTTTTAAATCATTTAAAAAGGTAAATTTTTTAATTGATACCAAGAATTTTTAACTGCATAGACAGTTGTTAAGTTTATGATAAGTAAATCTACAAGAGAAATTGTGTAATACAGGATTTTAAAACTTTATTTAAGATTCTTTTAAAATTATAAAATATAAAGTTACATATTTTTGAAGCAAATCGTTAATTTCGTGAATTTTAAATTAAGGTCTTCATTAAATACAGAACATTATAAAATACGAATGACAAAAAGTTACATAAAACCAACAGTTAATTTCATTTAATAAAATTAAAATAAGATATTTTTATTTTTAAAAACAATAACTTATAATCTAGAAAACAGGAGAACCATTCATTTTAAAACTTACAAAATAATTTATGATTTATATTAAAAATGCGAATTTTATTGAATTCTATAAAAAGTCCGGAACATTTTTCCGAGTTAACAGAAGTCCCTAATTCTACTAAAAAGTGGGTACTATTAATTAATATTAATCATAAGTAATGGTTTTGAGCGCAAACTTCAAGATTTTATTTAGAAAGAAATTTTTGACAGGTATTGTACATATTTAAGAGTCCATAAAATTATCATGGTTATTTAAGATCCATTTCTCATTGATACCATATCTCTATTGTATGGTATAAAATAACTTTAAAAATCAAATCTGTGTAAAAAAACCTAAGCATTTTCTCTTTAAAAATAATATTTTTATTTCTTAAAAAGAAATATGGTTAAAATAAAAAACAACTAAAAGTTATCGGTATATAAAGCAATATATTCATGAAAACGCTTAAATTTTGAAAAATTAAAATTTTAAATCAAAATAAAACCAAAAAGGAACACAAAAACAAAATAAATAAAATGTATAATATTATTAAATATTAAAATAAATAAACAATAATTTTAATATAAGCTTTTCATTATATGACAATTTGGTGTTATAAATGTTATACACGCTTAAAAGCATTAATTATAAATAAGTTAACTTAAATTATACTTGTGTTTCATAATAAATTATATATTATATATGTATATCATTAAATAAACTTCATTCTAAAAACGAACTTTGCTAAAAGTATAATATGTTATTGCATTACATACACTACCAGACGCCAGGTCTGTAATTTACTCAATCATGGTATACATAAAAATAAAATAAAATTTTAAAAACATTCATTCTCACAAAATGAAAACTCAAGCAATATAGCTTAATTTACAAAAACTTTTAACATTTTATACTTGAAAAACATTTTCAATTTGACTTTTTTTTTTAAATAATTTATTGTTAAATAAAAAAAAGATGCTATGTTTCATACATTAAATGTGTACCATTTTGACCAAAAATAATATTATCTTTATAGCAAATTAATAGTTTTTCATAAGATAAAAATGTCATTTATCAATTGAATATGATTCATGTTCATATATATAGTCAAAATTAATTCATGACTATGCTTCATTATTAATAATATAACATTTAATGTTAGTGTTGTAAGAACTATGTGATGTTGTATAAATTTTCAATAAAAAGAAATATAATAATTACACAAATAGAATATGCTTCAAATATAGACCGTAAGTGCTACAATTGCCAATCAAAAAAAAAAATAATAATAATAATAAAAATAAATATGAATATGAATAAAATATTAAAAATTGAATTTCATTAACATTTTAATAGTGACTCTAATTGATTTAATAATTTAATTAAGAGATCTAAATAAATAATTAAAAAGTAGATTTAATTTAAATTTTCAAAATAAAGTTTTTATTAGACATATAACTTTTAAAAATCATTTTTTTGCATTATACAATTAGTATAATATTAAGCAGTTTTAAGATATATTAGAATTAATTAGAACCTCAAAATTACTATTATTAATACAAAAAAAAATTTAAAAAATTTGTTTTTGACAAGTAAAATGAACATTTTTTATTTGAATGGTATTTTAACATGTAAAATACAATACCTATACAAAAAAAATTTCCGTGATAATAAAATTAATATTCTATTTAATAAAAAAAACTTTATATTAAAATACATAAATTTTAAATATTATATATAATCTTTTGTTTTTCTTTCATTTTGTGAAAAAAATCTATTAATATTGCACTAACACTACATAATATTATATACTATGTTTTAAGCCCAAAAAATCATTTGTATTAAAAAAAAAAAAAATACATATATATAGAATACATAAAAAAAAATTAATTGCTTGAAATTATGGGAAGGTGAAATAATTTAACTGGTAAATATATTTATATAATTCAAGTGTTAGATCAAAACTAATCAAAACAAAGAAAAGATTATACAATATATTTATTTATAGTCAATAAGAATTCTTTGGGAAATTAAAGGACAATAATTATAAATATTTTATTTTTACATATTAGTTTTGGTAACAAAAATGTTTACAAAGTATAAAATAATAGAATAAGTTTGTCAAATGAGGTCAAAGATCTACTTATGGTACATCAATAATAAATAGAATAACTAATAACTAATATATAAACTAATGTTTAAGTATAATGCACAAAGACAATTTTTAAAAAAAAATAAATGAAGTTTTATTAATATCAAGGAGTTCAAAAGTAAGTCAAAAATATTATCAAAAAAAAAAAAAGTTAAGTTCTAGGTAGGAAATATGTAAGGATGACTAAATGAGCTAAAGACAACAAATAATGATTGGCCAAAGCAGCAATTGGCGAGGCATTTGACAAAATTTTCAATTGTATTCTGTAAAAAAAAAAAATTTAACCAATAATTTATGGGTGAAAACCAAAATAATTTTTTTTAAATCAATAAATAAATTCAAAATGATGTTTTTAAATAATTTAATGTTCATCCTTTTTCTTCAATATATTTATTATAAATTCATTTAAATTATAGTTTTTAGTAAAATTTATACAAAAGAACCTACTTTAATAACACGGCATTAAGCTTGAATAACCTTCTTCTTTTCTTTCTTTTTCTTTAGAAATGATGGTGTTCTTATTCCTTTCTTTTTCTTTTTCTTATCCTTATGTGATGAGTCCTCAGTAGATATTTCTTTAGTTGGTGAACCCTGTTTATTTAATGATAGCCAATTAAATTCCAGTTAAATAAAATTAAACTAGAAAAAATAATTACTTCTTTACTACTGGAGAATGTACTTTGATGAGCATCAGATTCGTTATAAGTGTTTTCACCTGATTAAAAATCATTCAGTAAAGAAATTATACAATTTTGAAAATAAATGAATAATATTAAAATTAATTTCATAAACATGGATATTGACTAAATGAAATTATAATAATTTTAAAATTTCCAATAATTTAATAATTGTTGTTATTTCGATTTTTATCAATGTATTAAAACTAGCACCAAGATTATTTTTTCAAATTGATAATTGTAATTTTTTTTTCAGATTTAATTATTATAAATATGTGTAACACTTATTTTTAAATTATAGCATATTTTGTTTATCAAAAATATAGTGACAGAACTTAAAAAAAAAAAAAAAATTTATATAGAAAGGCAAAATTAAGTTATCAACTAAATGATATTTATAGACAAATTATTATTATTATTTTTTTTAGAAACTATTATAACTAAATTAAAGTTTTTTGCTTTAAAATTAAGTAGGATTTTTTTTAAAGCAATTACTTACATTGCTAAAAAAAAAAAATTGAGTCGTGTCATAATTACTTTTAATAAGTGTGACATGGAGTTTTCTCTGAGCATTCTTACTTAATTAATCAACTATAATTATTTCTTGGTATAAAAAAAGGTATTAATAAAAGCAAAAGCAATAAATTCTAAAATGCTTTAGGAGTTCTGTTATTATAAAAACATAATAAGAAAATATTTAATTAACAAGGTCACAATAATAGAGAATATTACACTATTAATAATAAGCTTCTTTATGAATTTAATTAATTCTTTTATTAAATTGTAGTGACTTCAACAATTATTTTTAAATAAATGTAATTAATTAAATATGTTAAAAATATAAAACATTTAAATAGTATCAAATGAATATATAAAAAATATACCTCATAGAAATATATTTAATAAGTCACATTCTTAACAATTCAATGAAAACAACAAATATTAAATTTTTGAATATAACTCATAGTTTAGTATCTTTAACTCATAAAAATAATAAAACAAAAACTATAATAAATTTTATCAATCAAAATATGAATACTTTTCTATTTGATATTACAAAATGTAAATAATAAAATATTCAAGTAAATCCAAAGCACAAGGAACTATATTCTTTTAAAACTAAATAATTTTTAGTACAAAAATGTTAACTAGTAACAATTTAATACTGTATTTAAAATCTAATATAATACAACACTTAATATTCAAAATACAACTTTACAGATGATGCATGAAATTAAAAATGTATATCTAATAGAATAGAAAAATATTTTGCCTTTCTGTAATTAGTCATAAATATTTATTCTAGTGGGTGGTAGTTCAGGATAGGTAAGGACAGGTGTCCAATGTGGTGTTACAACAATATGGTCATATTCATTTTCATCGAAATTCAAGCTTTCATTCAAAATTTTATTGTTTGCCATCTGATTATTCATATCATAGAATTCTTGGACACAAGACATTTTATCAAGTGTAGGTAATTTTAACCAAATTGGTTTAATGGTACTTATTTCATTTTGGTCTTGTGCTAGAGAATATTTCACACACAAATAATTGAATTAATTATACTAATTGTTTTAAAGACTATGTTTTCAAAATAATAACTACAGAACATCATATAGTCTTAATTAAACTTAATTAAAAAATATTATTATTTTTAAATGTTAGAATTCATAAAATAATTTATTTTGCTTCAGTTAAATAATTTAAAATACATTAACTTAGATTAATATTTCAGTTACGGTTTACGAATTTAATTAATTAAATACATAATACAAATTTATTCCCATTAAAAATGAATTTATTAAGTATCAAATTCAAAAAATTGTTTGAACTGTATCAGAAATATGTTAGTTCATTATGAAATTTAATAAATTTAATGAAGCTTATCTAGCTTAAACATAAATTATAATAAAATATGTCAGGCATAATCTGGCATGTATACTAAAAATACTATATGTAACTTACCTAACTCATTGTTATATTATACAATCTACTAACTGGTACTAGTAAATTCTATCTAATTTTAATATTTAAATAAAAAAAGTTTTTATTATATTTTTACTATGTTATATATATTTTATCTATATTTATTTGTGAGAAAGCTTGAACTATGTGCAAATAAACTAATATAAAAAAAATGGTGTATTATTTAAAAACATATTGTTACATAATATAAGATTAATAGTTCTTAACTTACAAAAATAGATAAATATAAGTCTTACAATAAGTAATTACCAAAAGATACTTATATTATTTTTTTAAATTTTAAGCTTATTATAAAATCAAAATATTAGCAAAATTCTAGTTGTATTATAATTTAAACAGAATAAATTTACAAAACTCACCTTCACTGAGAACAATTTCAGCCTGATCTGGCTTTAGCACTGATTTTCTTTCAACTTGTAAAACTCTAGGTTCTAAAAAAATTTAAACAAACTTTTACTTTCTAGTTTTAGAATTCACCCTTTCAGACCCATGATACATTCTTGTGTACCAGTAATTTGTTTCTTTTAAATTTGTGACCATAAATTTAACAATGCTAAATGGCATAAGCAACAAAAATAAAATATATTTTTTTACAAAACTTAAAAGTTTGAAAATAGATTTTAAGTAATTTTAACTAAAAGAAAAAAATCCGGTCTAAAAGGGTTAAGTTTGAGACTTGATTATTTGTTAAAAAAATATATACTAACCTCTACCTCTACTTTCATCATCTGTTTCACTAACAAGAAAATTTTCAGTTTGTCTAGTAGGTGAAAAGTGTTCACTATCTTCATTTTCTACACAAATGTTGATACAATACTTAAATATTTTAACTCACATTGGAAAATGTGGATAATTTTTAATGAAAATTACCTTGTTGACCTCTATTAACTGAATTCTTATAATATTCTATTTCTTCATCAGTGACTGCGTCAAATGGATTTTTGGCATAAGGTGTCTTGTAAACAGTAGCATTATGTTGGAAATTACGCTGTATAATTCCTTTAGATGCAGCACCAACTAATATCACTTGTTCCCCATTAGCATTCATGTTAGCATCCTATGAAGTAATTATTTTGTCATACGAAAATAAAAATTTATTGAGAAGTAATATTTAAATTAATAGAAGAAATATTGTTCAAATAAAAATTACAAAATAAATAAGAAGCAAGATTTAACTCACTTGGAATTTTTTAGCTTCTTCCCATGAAACACCATCTAATATTTGGGACTGTGGTCCAGATGTTATTTTATCAGCTCTTCTATTTTCTTTTATCTAAAAATTAGATCAAATTTAAGTAAAGTATCTTAATTTCTAAAAGTAATTATTTTTTAATTTTTATAGTATACTTGCTATAACTTTTAGAAATTTTAAAGCTATTATTTACCAATGCTCACTAATATAATATATACTAAATAATACAGCACATTAAGCACATACTTGCTGTTGAAGTTTTTTGAACTCTTTAGGATTTGTGTTCTTTGGAACAAACTGTAAAGGTCCATCAATTTTAAATGGTGTACTTGAATTAGGAGTTGCTTCAGACACCCACTGAAAATATTAGTACTAATAATTAAGGAATAACATTTCATAAATATCGCTTATACATTTTTATAGAAAAATTAATCAAGTACAAAAGAATATTACAAAAATTGACCAATATATTTTTAAATTCATAGACTATCGTAACAATATAAATACCAAAAAATAAAATTTTATACACTTTTTTAGATGCTCTAGAATTTATTTTAATTTTCTAGAATTAAAAAGATATTTTGCTACCATATTATTTCTTATAATCTTCTTTGTAAAATGGCAAATTAGATTTTTTTTTTTTGATAAGTTTTGAATTTTTAGACTGTTAAAAGCAAAATATGATTTGCTAAAAATGTTTCAAGCATTTTAATACATGGAGTGGTTATGTAGTACAGATTCAGTATTCATTATTAATATTCACCAGTACAATTGTACCCACCCATACGACATACCTATGTAAGTACTTATCCTAAAATTGTTATCAACTAATTAAAATTTTTTGTAAAAAAATATTAGAAAAATGGGCTTTTAGAAATTTTGAAAAAATTATTATTTTTTTAAATTTTTTAATCATGAAAAATAAATAACAAAAAATATGTGTTTAACAGATTAAGAATGCAAAATTTATATATATATATATATAATTAGATTAGATTTAGTTTTAAAATATATATATTTTTTTATTTTATTCAATTATCAACGAGCTATGATTTATTTAAGTTTAGGGGACGCGAGTGTTACTCACATTGATTTATAAAATACACGCAAATTTTACAGGTCATAAACCGATAATTGAGAACAATACACCGATAATTCTTATTGGTACACTAAATATTAATGTTACTGTATTTACCCGACTATAGTTTTATTTGTTAAATTTCCTAAACTTTAAATAATAATATCTAATTAAAAAAATTGGGTTTCCATTTGAAAACCTTAAGTTGATATTGATTTAAAGGTAAAGGAATGAAGATGGAATCTTTATTTTTCTTGTCAAATAGCTCAACAAAGATTTATAACAAATAAAATAATTACATATATGATAACGCTAATATTTTTAAAGAAAACTCATGAGGCATAGTTAGTCAAACACTCTATATAATTAAAATGATAAAAAATATTTAATTGCATCATATTTACACACAATTTTTTGTTGGCTCATCTGATGATGACAAAAAATATTCAATAGACTAAAAGTTATAGGATTTGTCAGAACAATCACACCCAATATATTAACTTTTACATGTGACTAATTATAGTTGAATAAATACATAGCTCAAATTATAAAATATCATGGCAATGTTACAAATAATATTTTATTAACTTTTTGATTAATAATTTAATAAAATCAAATATATTTAATAATAACATAATTATTTTGTTAAAATTTTTATAATTAATTAATTTTCTACCTTAGTAATTTTTTTGGGATCTGATGTTCCTGTTTCAAGTACTTCTACTTTTTGATACACATTAGGTGAATTTAACCATTTTGTCCTATCAGTTGATTTACGTCCATCATAATACTTTTTCCATTGCCTAAATATAATGAAAATTTTTTACAAGTTAATGTATTTTAGATAAAAAATGTAAGGTATTTACCCATTTTTGTATAGCTCTTCTTCTTCTAATAAATAACCAAGTGATGAAACTGCAGGTGGTACCTCAACATCATTTCGTGGACGTGGAGGTTCACCTTTAATGAGTGGTTGTCGATAAATATAACCTGTTCTAAAACCCTAGAAAAAAGAATTTTGATTAAAATAACATTTCATTATCACATTTAGTAAATATTTATTAATTGCAAAAAAATCAATTGTTAGTAGTGTTTGTCAAAAATCAATACAGTTTTTTGACATATGTTAACAAAAAAATACAAAAATACTTATTGCAGTATCAGATTGAATTGGTCAAACTTGATTAGATATTTACCAAATAAAAATATGTACTGATCACTATCTAAAATTTAACTCAATAGTTAAATTATGGAAAAATAATTTTTTAACTAGAAAATGGGTAGTATACATAATAAATCACCTGTTTATACGTATATAGTGGTCCGTGATGTTTCGATTTACCAAAGTTAAATAACTTTTGACCTAACCAATATTTTTCATTATTTTTTTAAAATAATTTTTATATAGTAGGACTATAAGTTTTATTATAAACAATAGTTATTTTATTCATTATACCAATTTATTTTTTTAAAAATTACAAAAAAATTGTTTAGAATAAATATTTGACCATATATAAATCAAAAAATAAATAATAATAATCAAAATAAAATAATAAAAATGTACAAAATTATTATAATTGTATGAGAAATCTAGTGGTTAACAATAAATTAATCATTCTGTATATAGAAATACAGGGTAATACTATCATTTAAGAGTAAAATTATTTCTCAATTTCTTTTTTGCCATATTATCAAAAATAAATATAGGAGATTTCAATTTAAGAAAATTAAAATTAAAGATTATTATTCCAGAAGGGTTGATATATATATATATATATGTGGGAATTACAACAGGCAACCACAGGAACAGCGCAAAAACGTAATACTATTATTTAATACATATATATTTATTCACACACAGAAGCCCTGTTAAATATTATCAAACAAAAATAACATATATAAAACAACACACACATATGAATAAAAATTGCACACAAAAACTCGTCTTAGCCGACTCACGATTTGATTTAATTTTCCCTTATAAAACTTTATGATACCACTATCTGCCTCCAAACCCGGGAAGTGGTGTCATCTAGACACCAATATTACCCATATATATATTTAATTATATAATATTGCAATTCATCATACCAAATTAAAATAATAAAAAAACAGTAATAAATTTATCTCATTAAATTATTGTGATTAAAATTAATGATAAATATTATATAAATTAAATTAATTATTACTATAGTCTTGATAATTTAGTAATACATACGGCATTGTCAAGCATTCTCATAAGAGCTTCAAACTGAAGTCCCCCTACTCTCCAACGTTTATCTGAAACAGAAGAATTGCCTGCAGGTAATGGAGCTGGTGTTGTACCATCAGGTGGTGATCTAGCAGCATCATAAATAGATTTACGCTGTTCCTCAGACATAGTGACAATATTTTCTAAGCCTACTGGTAAAACTTTTAGCTAGAAAAAATATATAAATATATTTAAGATTGTTTACATTTATTTATAGTTCAATAACATATTTTTAATTTCTTTTTTCTTACTTGAGTTTCACACGCAGTGACAACATTATAAGCATTGTAAAATGCTTCTTCAATTGATTCACCACAGCACAAAGCACCATAATTAGTAAAAAAAATAACCTAATAAACAAATTATTAGTTATTAGCATAAGAATTTGTTAATATAATTAATATTGATTAAATCTAAAGGAGTTAAAAATAAATATGCTAATTTTTATACCTTATTTATGGGTCCTAAACTACGAGCAATTTTATCTTTTTCTTCAGAGTCTACATTAGATCCTGGGTATGCGTAATGTGCCATATCCCCAATTAATGCACTTTCTTTACTTATATGAAGTAAACCACATCGTAAAGATGATACAGCCAAAACAGGGCCACTAAAAAAATAAAATAGTTTACTAATATTGTTAAGGCCCTGGTAGTTTAAGTGAACTTACACTTGTACATCAATAATAGCTTTTAAGTCTGGCCTAGCAGCATAAATAGCAGCATGAAGTTGAAATGCACCTATGTTTACACCATAATTGGTTGTTCCCGTTTCCATAACATTTCCTTGCATGTCAATTTTTATTAGACTGGAAGCTGTTACTTCATTGCATAATAGACCATGTGGGTTCACTAAAAAATGTTCTTCCTCTTGATTAAGTCTGGCCTAGAAAAATTGACTTAAAATAATTATTTGGTTTAATTATAATAACCTTCTCAAGTTAGAAAATAATAAAAATTTCAATCAATTAATATAATGAATATAGGAAAATATTTGTTTGAAAATTTAAAGCCATTAATATTTTGATTGGCTAAGAATTTTCTTTTTTCTTTTTCAGTAAAATTTCAATTAACCGTAATTTTCATATATTCATGTGACTCTATCCTCATCATTATCCTAGATAATTAAAGGTTCTGTTATATCTACATAAAAATATCATAAGTGATTATACTTTTTTTTTGTTTTTGTAAGAAAATAGATTCAGATCATAGTAACTATATTAAATTAACAAAAATTGAAACAAATGATTATGTTACATTATGAAACATGTACCAATTAACTATTATTAAATTCTTGATTATTATTTTTTGGAATCAATTAACATAGTCATATGGGTGATATTAACATTTTAAACAATCAGATCTATCTTTTCTTACACTAATTATTCCATAATTTATTTATTGCAAAAGATGTGTGGAACTTACAAATTTTCTTGTATAAATACAAATTTGTATATTATACATATCTAGTAAATATATAATTATTCGTAACTTACTGAGACTTGATTGTAAATTCCTTGAGTCCAACCATACAAATCCATTAATCTAAACACTGAAGCCAATTTACATCTGATGATTTTTTCACCTTTAGCATAACCCATGCTCTCCACACCACGGATATCATTGATGGGTGCAACACAATTAGAAGCTGTCCAACAAAAATTGTTGTTAAATATATAATAATTTATTTGATTATGCGATAATCTTAGATGAAAATCCCACTTCAAGTCTTAATTATTAACATTTAAAACTTTTCTCGTTTGAAAAGTAAAAGGTATTATCATATCATATCAAAAAATACTTAGTATATAGCAGGGGTGGCCACAACGAGGCTCGCGAGCCACATGCGGCTCTAGAGTTAATCTGGTGCGGCTCTCGAACCTGAGTTCAGAGTAAAAATATTACTGATTTAAAACAATATAATAATGCAATGTACAGGTTGAAAGTCTTTTAAGCTTTACAAAACTCAACATTTGTTTTGACAAGTCTTTTTTGTAGACTTGGCAACACTGCATACACACCAAACTATGTGTCGATATGGCAACGGTGTACGAGTACATTCTTTTTCAGAAGAAAAATACCCTCTAACAAAATTGTGTGCAAAGAGACTAATCTCAATATTTGGCACTACATATGTGTGTGAATCACTGTACTCAACACTTAAGTTCATTAAATCTAAATATCGATCTGAACTAACTGATGAACACTTGAGTGAACTCGTGCGAACTGCGCTTACCAATTATAAACCAAACTTCAAACAACTCACAGCTAAAATGAACACTCGTAAAAGCAATTGAACATTAAGTTAACATTGAATGTTATAAATAAGTAGAGTACAATAAATGTTTCTTCTTTTAAAATTAAAAAGTGTCTTTAACTTATTAACCATAAATTCATCTCCAAACAATGTGGCTCGCCTTAAAACAGCTTCATAAATTTGTGGCTCCCTGAGTAAAGGTTAGTGGCCACCCATGGTATATAGTGTAAGTTAAGTAAAATAATTATGTTGCTAATATTGAAAAGCTTTCACTGAGATAGATAAAGAAGCAGACAAATATATAAGATTTTTGTTACTGTGAGGAAAAGGCTGAAGAACAAAGTTTATTTGTTATAACTTATTTTTTTGACTAATGAAACAAAAGAGACGTTTTTTTTATTAAAAAAAATTAACAGAACTTCAAGTGACTAATAAATAGTTCTATATTGTCTAACTTTTTAGGATTTTCACTAGATAACATTATATCTCTACCAGAAATATCAGTTAATAAAATTTCTTCTTCATATGTTTATTCCAAGTTTTCTAATGAATGTTTAATCTACAACAGTGAATTGCTTATATTTTGTTTCTTATTTCAATATTTATTTTTCAAAAAATTACTTTCTTTTTCCCTATTTATAACAAAATATTAAGGCATCATAAATGCTTTTCAATATATTATATCAGCTCCTAGTAAATTCATTATCCCATATTCCCAATCATATATTTTAGAGATATCTTTGCTGATATCAATCGGAAAAAAGATTCTTTTTCAATGAATTTCAAGTCATGTAAGTATTTTGGGCAATATACACTATGATCAATAAGTACCGGGAATGACTCATTTAAACAGCACGCGGTTGTCAAATCCGGTTATTTTTTTTTTTCTCAAGTTGGTACACCCTTATTTGATGTCTCTGATAATTTTGAGCGGTATCACATCATTATTATGTGTTTGACAGCTGTAAACAATAGATAACTTTTTTTATTTCGTCGCATTTCATAATGGATAAATCAGTAGAGCAGAGAATCTGTTTGAAATTTTGTGTTTCCAACGATATTACGTGCAAAGATGCATTGGAAATGTTAAAGAAAATATATGGGGACTCTATTATATCGAAAACCAGAGCATACGAATGGTATAAAGAGTTCAAAAGTGGCCGTGAGGTGTGTGAGAATTTGCCGCGTGCGGGTCGTCCATCAACATCAAATACCGAAGAAAACGTCGCAATGGTAAAGAAATTAGTTTTAGAAAATCGTCATGTGAGTATAAGAGACGTTGCTGATGAAGTAAAAATCTCTTACGGAACAGCACAGCACATAATTTCCGATATTATGGGCATGCGACGCGTTGCAGCACGGTTAGTGCCAAAGGAGTTGAATTTACTCCAAAAAGAGCATCGAAAGGGTGTGGCCGAAGAAATGATTTGGGAGTCATCTAACGACCCTACATTCATGAAACGCATCATAACTGGCGACGAGACATGGGTCTACGAGTATGACGTGCTAACTAGCCAGCAATCATCCGAATGACGTGCTCCCCACGAACCAAATCCAAAAAAAGCACGCCAAAGTCGCTCAAAAATCAAGGTTATGCTCACTGTATTCTTTGATTACCGTGGTGTAGTGTACTTCGAATACTTGCCAAATGGCCAAACCATTAATAAGGAGTATTACATCGGTGTTATGAAGCGTTTGAGGGATGCAGTGCGTCGTAAACGGCCGGATTTGTGGGCGGCCAAAAATTGGATTTTACACCACGACAACGCGCCAGTTCACAAAGCCAAACTAGTGCAAGACTATTTAATGAAACACGACGTTGTACAACTTCAACAAGCACCGTATTCACCCGACTTAGCACCGTGTGACTTTTTTTTGTTCTCCCGACTTAAATTGCCGCTTCGTGGGCGTCATTTTGAGTCGCTGGATACCATTAAAGAGAATGCGACGAAGGAACTCAAGGCTATTTCGGCTCAGGCCTTCCAGCGCTGTATGGATGACTGGGTTAAGCGCTGGCATCTTTGTATCGCTTCAAATGGAAGCTATTTTGAAGGAGATAAAATAAATTTGGAAGAAAATTAACTTAATTTTGTTTTATTGACTCATTCCCGGTACTTATTGATCATAGTGTATGTAATAAAAATAAAAAAGATCATATCATACTATAAATATTTCCACAATAAAGTAATCGAAAACAGGAATTTTTGTGAACCAACAATATGGGCAGTGTCACATCTAATTTTCTTTGAATTTCAAAAAACCTCCCCAAATTTAATTTCTGTGTACACCACTGGACTCAAATCAAACTCTTCAATTTTAGTGCTAATATCAACAACTTGAATTACTTATAATTTTATTACATTACTTTAACAAAAAATGATTGAAATAACCTATTGAATCAATTTGACTGTCTTACTCAAGAAAACTTTTAAGATGAAAATAATGTCATGTTTTTATATGTTAAAATCAACTAACAAGTCCTATATAATAGCATTTTTTTTTATAAAAAAAAACCCCTAACTATATAGGTAGTCCACAATGTTTTGACAATTCAAATTACCTTTTATCTAGTTAATATTTTTCATTACTTCTTTCTTTTATCATTTTTATAGTTTTTTACTACAATAAAAGCATATTTTTAGCTTTAATTTGAAAATTAAATAGTATTTATAAAGTTATAATTTTGTAATGCTATTTAAAAAATGAATACAAAATAATTTGCTAGATTTGTTAAAACATTGTGGACATCCTGCATACTGACATAATAGAAATAGTTTCAAAAAGCTTAATTGAAAATAGTAGTGTAATTAACATAAAATTTAATTCTTTAAAACAAAATATTGTTGGTACTTGATGCATTTACAAAACTGTAAGAACATTATTTATATTTTAATATGATTGGGATACCTAAATATTTTGTTAAATAATATATGTACCTTTAGATCCTCCAGATTGACGTCCACCGACTATGTCTGATATTTGTTGCAGTAATCCAGCAGGAACAGCTCCTCCATCTTTCATTTGCACTTCAATTATTCTTTCAAGTTCTTCACGAAATAGTCTTGAATTCATTATCATCTCAACTCTTTTTCTACGTTCCATTTCTCTTACATCCTAATAATAAAACAAATGTTGCGTCAACATTATAAAAAATAAAACAATTTTAAATATGAAATTTAAAAAATATCTAACAGCATCAATATCAGCAGGCCTCATTTTTCCGCGTTCATCTTCATCATCATTAGTATTTGAATAACCGTTAGTATGAGGTTGTTCCACTTCTACATCAGCCATGATTTAACTTTATTATATCTAAAAATTACAAATATAATTTATTTATTTTGCAAATAAATTTGACTTTAAATGGAAAATACTTTAAAAATAACTTTTTTGATCTAATTTAATATATTTTATTTAACAATAATAAGATAATATTTTTTGATTGTCTCATTACAATTCTTATCTATTACTATTTTCCCTCAAATTAATATTAAAACTAATGATTACAGAACTTTGATCAATAAAAATAAAGTTTATACAGTGTGAGTTGGGATTTTTTGACAACTATTGATTTGGAAAATTTTTTTATTTAATTATTTACGAAATGAATTTAAAATAGTAAATCATTGTATCATTAATCATTTCACTTAATTTTTTTTTAAATATATATAATTACTTCTTTATTTAGATTTTTTTTATGCAGTAATTTTGATGGATTAATTTAAAATTTAGAAAAATATATGCTACAAACATTTGAATATTAAAAGTAGTTTAGTTATGCAAGCAAGTATAGTTTTATATTTATCATGTAAATCTTACTTGGTACAGGTAAGATGTACTTAAATGTATTTAGTACTCAAATTTTTATAGTTCATAGAATACTAATACAAAATTAATTAAAATATCAAAATGTTGTGCTTTGTTCAAAAATCATTTCCTTAAAAAGTAGCTAGGTAACGCTAGAGTAATAATATAAAAAGTGAGTATATAGTTGATAGTTTTTCTACTCAATTGTTCATTTTTATATTATTAGTTTTTAATTAAATTTAGTACAAAATATAAAAAACTAACAAATAAAAATATTTTTTGAGTCTACTTAGTAAAGTTTTTTAATTATCTCAATTAATTTTTTTTTTAATTATTTGTTATTTATTATTTATTTTTGTGAATTCATAAATTAAAAAACTGTAAAAAATCAACCAACATCATATGATAAAGAAGAAGTAGAACAAAAACTATTAAACTATTCAAACAATAATGAATCATCCTGTAAAAATAAAAATATTAACTCTGTCAACATATAAAATAATATCAATTGATTAAATTGTTATAGAATGATAACAAAAAACTAAATTATAAACAACTCACGTTTTTAAAAATAATTTTAAATTTCTAAAAACTTTTTAATGATAGATTCTATTTAAAATTGCTTCATAAAAAATATTTTACATTTTTACAAATTATACAGAGTGAAAAATATATATATATAAAATAATAATTAAAACCATCAAGTTTAAACATTTACTAAGTAGTGATCTCTTTAAAAATCTTTCATCTACCATTCAAAAAGCCTTGACGTACTGATTAAACAATAGATATGCAAAATAACAATTATGCCATCAAGTATAATACTGAAATATTATACTATAAAATAAAAAATTGGGAATATTGATACTATAGAACCCCTGTGCTTGACTGTTAGTAATATATTCTAAGGATAGATACTTCTCATAAAAATTTTAATTCATAATCTATAAGTAATAAATAATCTAACAATGAGTAGATTGTACTTATTTGTCCAGTACAATCAGAAATAATTATTAATTTATTATTTTTTACAACTATTATCTAGTAAAAGATAAAAAATGATATGGAGTTTAAAAGGTCATCAAGAAAAACTAGATGAAGACCCAATATATTTTACTTGATGAGTATTTTAAATTCAAGATAAATAATATATTTTGAATTAAAATTTGAGTTATGAAACATTATATAGGAGAAGACCTATTAGTTGACCTTTAAATCTATGACTAAAGTATGCACCAAAATTGTGATATTAAAATGAAAAAATTCAGATGATCAAAAGCATGGCATAAGTGCTTGCTCAAATTATAATTGAGTGTTTATAGTATAATCATATTCATTATTTATTTTCAATAATAAATTTTAATACTTATAATGAAATTTAATGTATATTTAATATACATAATATAACGAGTTTAATCTTATCTACAGTAGTTAAAATCATCAAAATTAAGTTATTCTTTAGTTCATTACACTTTATAAGTCAATAAATCTTAAAAGCACATGGTAGAATCAAATATTTTGTAATGCCTACAGGAACAGTATCAAAAAAATTCCAAAATATTAAATAATATCATATAGAAATCCAACAAGTTGATTATTTTTATGTGTAAAATTAAAATGGATAAGAATTCAATTTTTTTTTTTTTAATATCTTATGGATGATAAATTGTGTTAAGAGTAATTTTTCGTGCTTAATTACAACTTGTTTTTTTCACAGTGTATGATTAATATTTAAACGTTCAATACATTGGTAATCTACAAATGAAACCTAATATAAATAAAGAGTATAATATTCAGGCACGGATTCAGGATTAACTTTAGGGGAGAATGTAATATATAAAAAAAATTTATAATATTTTTTATATTATAATTGTCTTTATAATTGAAATTTACTTTTTTTTATATTTGAATAACACAAAGATCACAATTTGTTATAATAGAAAAAGTATGAAAATAATACTATACTTAAAATCTGTTTGACATTAAGAAAAAAAAGATCAAATATGAATGTTTCTAAACATCATACTTTTAGAATCCTTCAAAAATGTAAGAAATCTCTTCTGATTTTTTCAAAAATAAATTAAAATTAATGTATTTGCATTTTAAATAATCAGACACGAAATTCTGATTATAGAAATCATTCTTAAAAGATGCATGTGATAAGTTTTCATCATAATACAAATTTTTAAATTTAATTTCTCACTGGTCAATACGAAATTTCCAAAATTATAAAAAAAATTCAAATTATAGTATTTATATCATTTTTATATTGAAAATTAATAATATTTAAATTGATCTCATGTTTCATTCATACTTATGCACCTTTTAAAATATTAAACCGATAGTTTCTATGATAAGGAGATGACAAAATAGTATTGTTATTAATGTTACTTATCTGTGAACAGGAAACACTTAGGGCGATTAAATTTAAACACTACCTATATAGTTGATCATTCCAATTGACTAATAATAATTCTCTCATGTACTTAATGAATCAAAATATGTCAACATAATGTAGTCACGCCTCAAAATATTGGAATAACTTACGTTCTCCAAAGTTAACTAGGTAAAAGCTATAAAATTAACGACACATCGTTATAGTTGTAGGGGTCGAACACCGGCATTCAACATAACATTTTAAATTTTTTATAACTCACCACTATGAAGAAACCGAAATGCACAACAAATCAACCTTATGGTATTAATAATTTCAATTCACACTATCGCACAACAATGGAATTATTTTACGGATAACATATCGGATACCGAAAGGCTAACGCGGCTGCGGCGGCAGTGGACTATACAGAGCCAACAACGGCAACAGCAGCGTTGTCGAAAACGTACGAGACAGTATAGTACACGATAGGATACAAACCCTGACGCACGTTTACGCACGTACACACATACACATTGACTCACACAAGCACAGTGTTAATGACTCCAAATCACGAACCAAAAAACAAATGGAATTCTAGCCGCTGGCGTTTGCTGTGTTCCAGAGTCGGAGAGATACGCCCGTTCGGGTAGACTGTAAACTATGACGGGCACCGTTATTAACCGGAGGTAAAATTTAAAACATTAGAAGGCGACACTGCGAATTGATAAAATAACCTTACACTTCCTATCATGTGATTACGAGATTATTTTACAATGAAATGGTGAATTAATATAATGTTTATTTACTTAACAATTACCAATTAATTTTAAATGACTTGCAATTGCTAAAATATATTATTCATGAATAGAATTACAACAAATACAATTAAAAATTCAAGCCAATAATGAAAAATTAAGTATTTTTCCAAATATATAAATGTTTTAGCTATTTGTTCAAAAGAATAGTAATTTAAAAGTTATAATATTATCACGATTGTGCAATTAATTCTATAATCAAATTTCAATATATTTTTTGTAATAAATAATTTTATGAATGGTAACTTAGAATTGTGTGCTAAGTGTCACAATATTGCATTCCTATTTTTTAAGGAGAAATTGATCTAATGTCCAATAATTTTGGAAATTTAATTCTAAAAGTTATTGGAAGATAAAAGTAGTGAAAAAATTGATGTTTTTCATTGACACTTGCAACCTAACTAATATATTGATATTATTTATTAAATTTTAGCTATGATGTTAATCTAAAGGTATAGCTATAACTACATAGTTAATATTATATTTATATGGATGTACTTCTTTTTTTACAGTCTATAATCACGCTAAATGAAACGTAATTTTCTTATTTAATAGAATTATGCATAAATATTACATAGTGTTTAGTTAAATTATTTACACCTACATTATAAGCGATTTTCTAAATTTAAAACTAATTGTTCTTAAAATTCACCTAGTGTATAGATTTAAATAGCCAACGAAATTTCACGTGCATAGAATTAATACTACGAAAAGTTATTGACAATAATAATGAGTTTAGTATTTATTGAGTGTCTGATAATGCATTATATATTTTTTCATACAATGATGGAAGTATACAAAATGAATTTAAACACTATTATTATTAAATTGAATCATTTTTAAAATTTGAAAAACTGTACCATAGTAAAAAACAATATATTTGTATAATTAATGATCAATAATTTAATTTATGACTTTAATTCATATGAAAACAGTTATGGTTTGTAAATTCTTTGCTTGAAATCAAAAAAGAAATAGTTACTAAAATTATACTTTGTCATTTAAAAGTTGTTCCCGTAAAATTGCAATATTGTATGGTCCACTTACAATGTATTAAACATTATTTTGATTTGTTATGATTGTGTTCCATACGGCTATTTTTATCCGTTTGACGTCTTCGCTACTTATTGTACTCCACAGTTACTCGTTTCTTAATCTTATTTTCTGCAATTACATTGTCAAGTTTTAAATATTTTTAATTATTTTAAGCATGATACTAATTTAATAACTTTATATAATTCCTATAAAATTGACACAATAAATTTTTTTATAATTCAACTGGTATCAATTATTGATTAAAATAATTGACTGTATCAACAATTACTGTCTACAAAATTTATGATTTAAATATCTCAAATTATATTGATAATAATCATTAATAATTAATATGTCTCGTGACAATTAAAATTAAAGATAAACATTATATTAAAACATTTAGGTACATGTTATAAAAAACTTTCACTAGGTAACAAATTCTAAGGATATTTTTACCGGCAATGCCTTTATTTTAGATTTTGCTTGAGGAGATAATTTTTTATCAGTTTGGTATCTATCAAATCGCTCATTTTACATTTAATTCTCCCCCTTGATTATTACAAAAAAATATATTGCAGCCTTAAAAAGTACAGTCGAATATTCAGCTTAATTATCTCATAATTTCGATTTTGTCATGTAAAAAACAAAACATTTTTACTTTTGAATTTATTTATTGGTAACAATTTCATAATTTCAAGATTGACCCAAAATTAGTTACAGTGTAATAATCAATTTTCTGAAAATGCCTGTCAAACTCAAGGTCTATAAAACGATTAAACTTATACGATAAGTCAATCTTTTTTTTAACAGTATCAAATTATATAAGGTAAGTTAAAAATAAATAAGTTTTTTTAATGATTTAATTATTTAATTTTATCTCAAAACCTAGTTGTGATTGTAAAAATNAACAGTATCAAATTATTAAGGTAAGTTAAAAATAAATAAGTTTTTTTAATGATTTAATTATTTAATTTTATCTCAAAACCTAGTTGTGATTGTAAAAATCTAAAATCTGAGTCATCTGAGTCGAAATTCCTAACAGAATTAACTTAATAGTTGTAGACAGCAAAATGGCTGTTGTCTTGTGTCATTAATCAATTGATAGAATATACAGGCCTGCCCATTTATCCTTCAAAATAAAATAAAGCAAAACCACTTTCCCACCTAAATCGCATTTTAGTTTTTAGAAACATTAGCGGTTTTTGGACTCAATACATTTTTTTTCTCGAAAAATCTTAAAATCAAAATGATTTTTTATTTAAATAATTTAAGGAAGATAAAAATACCTTTTTAAAGCAAAAATTGGAATTAAACGTTTAAAAAACGTATGTCACCTTTGAAAATTTTAATAAGTAAAATAATTATTATAATGTGAGCTATTCAAAATCACCTCAAACGATCATATTTAAGGTGCCATATCTTACTTGACAAAATTTGTAATGTTCTACGATGACATCAGTTTTCTTGGATCCTTGCCAGTATGTTATTTTTATTGTTGTTATATCTTATATAGATTCTAAAATACCAACTTATAAACTAATTGTATGAAAATAAACATATAATTTTAAAATAAAAATGCCTACCGTTTAAAAAGAATATCCATTAAGTCCAATACATAAATATATTTAATGCATTAATTTGTTTAATGGAAATTAACAAGTGCAGTCTCGAGTCTGCTTATTATTAGCAGGATCGAGCCATTTTATGTTCCGTCATTCAATATCATTTAAAATCTAGTACTATATGTAAAATTTGAATTCAATTTATTTAAGTTCAGCTAGTAAGTTTTATCGAAAAAATACGTATAAATATATTTTCATACCATTAATCGAATTTTTCTGGATTGTTTTTGGTTTGCATAAAAAATAGTTTGAAAGCAATGGTCTACGTCGGACAGTAATGTGTTACATCGAGTCTACGTTCATTTAAATACTCTAAGAAATCTATTATAATAAATGAGATTCATACGTGTTAAGAGTGAGTACATATACCTCACTCGCTTGATCAAAATTTTAAATAGTACTTATAGAGACATATATATGTATTTTTAATCTTTGTGAAAAAACTTTTAATGTCTAATTAGTTCCTTTCAACCTAGCACCTAAAATATACTTAGTTATTTGCTAAAAAAATCACTAGAAGCGTCTACATTTTTGTTTTCGTTTGTTCTTTTAAAACACAACGATTCACATTAAAAAACTTTAATTTTAAAGTCGTTAGGTACTAACCTAAATCCAAAGTGGTTTTATTTATCCAAACAGCTTCTTTGCGTTCTTTTAAATCATTGAGATTTTTTATTACGTATCAGTTGCATAGTAAAATAATCAATACCTTATTCTTACGTGCTATTAAGTAGACAGGTAAGTTATACGTTTATTAGTATTTTTTGAGTTGGAGTTGACTAATATATTTTATATGGATTTTTTATTACCTTCAATATAGTTGCCAAGTGTTTTAATAAATTTCTCTACGCACATTAGAGTTAAATAGTTTTTGACTCATTGATGTTAAAATTTATTTTAAACTAAAATACACAGATTTATTGTAATTAATTTCAAATTGAATATCACATTATATTTTCATTTTATCATCGATTTTCATTATTTTAATAACTTGTAAAGGAACAAGTTATGTATTAAGTTTAAAATTGGTTACTGCCATAGAATGAATACTTATTGCCCACTCTAACAAAACAAGCCCACGGGCTATAAAAACAATATTTTACGGTACTTAACAAATCTCGATTCTTATTAAACTTGTTATGTAAAAACTAAAAATTAAAGAAATACAATATTTAAAATATTAACAAATAGTATAGAAATAAAGCAACTACTTTTTTTACAAGTAATAAAAAAAAAAGATAAACAATAAGCAATAAACGTTAATAAGAGGTGATTAGCAAATAACTAATATCACAAAAAGGAATTTTTCAATAATTGACAAATCGAAACAAAACAATTTCAATACTCTCGTTAGGTAATATATAATCTTCTAAAAATTTTTTAAGAAATACATGTATTATGCTATTACAATTTATCCAATTGAACTATTTATAAAATTATAAATCTACTTTTTGTTGACCTTAATTTAAGTAAATGAACACATCGGCAGGTTTGATATTCTTATAGATTACACTGAAGCGATTTGTAACCTTCAATCGATACAAAACCAGTGTGAAAAACTGTTTGATCAGGCATGGTATTTGCTGCTAACATTAACAACTTTTCAGCAGCTAGTGGATGCCAAATTCCAAAAGTACATGTATCATCCACCTTTTCGTGATAATAGTGACATCTATGTGTAAGTCTTTCTGATGGTATGAACTCAAACATATTTACAACTGTGCATCGAGGTAGTAACATTGCTAACCCTAAAATATTTTTAAAAAATTACACATATAAAGTACTTAAGTTATACCTAATGTATTTTAATTTCCATGATATGTATAACAGTTAATGTTATATTTAGTATGGAAATCAATAAAACTAAAAAAATATACCCAAAAATCCAGATGATGGGGGATTTCGCCTTATATGAGCTGTAGTATGGGATTGCAAGAAATCCCAAAGAAACCATAAGTAATGCGGATGTACAATATGAAAATTGGACGAAGGATATGTTTTTCTGTAAGTCATATAGTTATTTACAAAATCATGCTCGGGATTCTGAATCCACTGAAATTAAATAATTTAATATTTAGTTTATTGTTATCAAAAAAAACTTCTTGTCTTAATTTTTAAAAATAATATTTATGTCGTTTTACTACATCCGTACAATTTATTTTTAATTTTTAATATGTTTTTATTTATACCTCATTTACAGAAGAAGAGTAATTTGATGGATCCCACATTAAAAGTTTTAATTGCTTGTACAGCGGAGAAGACAAAAATTTGAAATTTGGTTTGCTAACAACTTGTGAATTTAGTATACGAATTGTAGTTTTAGATCCAACATCTTTTTCATATCCTTTTGTAGGAGCATTGTTGAAACGTAATACTAAGTCGTGTTTATCTAAAATAATTCAAAAGTACAAATTTGTATTTAATTACATTAGTTAGCAAAATTGACCTATGATATCCGATAGTTATATTTTGTGTGAACTTATGTGCCGAGTTTGAAAAATTAACCACAAATAAAACATTTTGAAAATATTATTTTGGAATACATAAAAAACGTTAATTTCTCATTAGTTTAAAACATTTTTACTTTTAGAATTTCTTATCTCAATTTCGAACTCGGCTCATTATTTTATATAAAATAAACGGTAGCACAGTGGGGTCGCGGCAAAGTGTGGACGTGTCATAGTTCGGACAAGTATAGATGATATCTGACAATGATTAAAATCACTAACATAAGAAATGCTTCAATGCAAATCTTTAGATTGTGTTTAATTTTAATAAATTGGTGGATTATTCCAAAAGCAAAATTAACTCTTATTTCCTTCATTATTCCTGATTAATAGTTTTTTGATTTAGAAGTATAATATATGAATAAATATTTATTATTGCAATTAAATTAATATGAGATTGATATTTAATAATTTAGTATTGTAATTTTATCGGAGAATCTGTACAAAATTATAAAGTATTTATTACTTTTATGGCAAACGTGTATACAATTAGAAGTGCTTGTCACAAAAATGTTCATAAAATAATTTGTGGTTAATTATGAATAAATGATCTACAAATAGATTTCATTAGAGTCAAAAATATACTTTTACTATTCCATTTTTCGCGTTGAATTTTGTTTTCCACCTCAAAAAAAAAAATTAAGAAAAAATGCAAAAAAAGTTATTTTGGCTGGCGGTGCTTGAACTTTGTACCCCGAACTTATAAGACTGTATAGTTAATAACGCAACCACTGTGACCATGATGAATAATTTATATAGAAATAACTGTTTAAGCTAGTTAAAAAATTCAAAGTCGATTTTCTTAACTTTGAGGAGATAAAATAATCAAAACAAGTTTAAATTTATATTTAATCTAAGTTAAATATTGTAAATTTTATAAAAATCGATGGACTCATTACAATAACAAACCTTTGTATAAGTATTTTAAAATAAATGAAAAAAAAATTGAACACAAAAATAGCATGTTTTTAACTACGGCAGCCATTTGCAAGTAGAAGATAAGTTGTCAGGAAAATTTTTTTTTTTTAATTATTAGTAAATAACATAAGCTTTAATTTGACAAATGTTTAAAGGACGCAGCATTTCTGGAACATTTTCAAAAGTTGAGTTAAATAAGTTGACTTTTGTAAAAATGTTGCTACTTTAAATTCCCCCTGTGAGCAAGTTATGTGTTAAATTTTCAAAAAAATGATATCAAATGAAAGGAAAATATCTAAGGTTTCAATATAAAAAAAAACTGATGTTTACTGATATTTAAAATTGTAATTTTTTTGGAGAATTCTCCTATTTACGGGGAACGAGGGAATTTTTTTCAATTTTTAAGGATAATGTCTTCAACTAGATACGATTTGTGATCTTTTGACGTATCGTTGAGAAAAATCGGTTCAGAGATAGCTGAGAAAAAGTAGTTACAGACACAAAAAAATAAATGAATAAAATAAACACATCATGGTAAAATTAATACCTTCTCCCCTTCGTGTCGAAGCTAAAATAAATATACGAAATATTTTGTGATTATTAACTTTAAAATCAAGTAGCCAATAGAAAAAATATCGTGGGAACGTTTTATTTTAATTTTATATAGATTTTGGTTTGTCAGACTTCCCGGAACATATTTAGAGATTAATAATAAAGTAAATGTTCTTTTGAAAATTGCGAATTTTTTTACTTTGACAGCCGATTTAACCTAGTGAAAAATCGTGGGATGGATTTTTTTGTTAATATTGTTATACGAGGTGTGTTTAAAAAATAACGGGAAATTTTAAATTTCACGGGTTTGAAGAGTCCCTGAAGTATGAAAAAATTTTCAATTGAATTCATGTTTTACTTTGTCATTAGCAACCGTTAAGGTTAGATGTGTTTTTATGAAAAATGGATTAAAGGTTTTGTATCAAATTTAGCGTAAAAAATTAAATAAAGTGTAACATAATGTGTGAAATGTTAACAAAGGCCTATGGTGAGTCTGTCATGAATAACAAAAACAATACTGTAACGATACTCCGCCTCTATATTCGCCAGATATGATTTCATGTGACTTTTTTCTACTTTCAAAAATACGGAGAACCTTAAAGGCCCGCCGTTTTACAAGAATAGATAAAATCAAAAGCCAATCACTGAATGAGCTGAAGACTATACCAAAGATCGAGTTTGAGAAGTGTTTCGAGGATTGGAAGAAACGTTGGCACAAGAGCATAATATATAATGGGTACTTTTTTGAAGGCAACAACATTAGTGTAGACGAAAAAATAAATATTTTTTTCAAAAAACGAAAATTCCCGTTATTTTTTGAACACACCTCGGATGTAGTGCCCAACTGTGTAAATTGTTAATTACAAAAAATTAATCATTTGAATATCTTAAAAATGTTGTTGATATATTTAATTAAGGGTAGAAGATTATTAACAATTTTGTCTATAATAGTTCTAGTGAGCAAAATTTCAATTAATTTGAATCCTTTTTTTGTTTTACACTTTACGTTTTATTTATGTATCATGGTCAAAAAAATTTGTATAATACACCCCACACAATGTTAAGTACTAGCCCTTAATAAAATTGGCTTGTGTTCTGTAAACTTTATGACTTAGACTAATAGAACTATAGACTATAATCCAAGATAATTTTCTTAATAGTAGGCCTGCCTTCTCCAAAACTTTGCAGTGTTTTTTTCTCTCTCACCCCTTATAAACTGTGCTATGTTTAATTTATTTTTCACATTACATATAAAAAAATATTTTTTTTTAGAAATTTCAGTTTTTATTTTGAAATCTGTAATGGAGTAAAGTATAAAGAGTTTAATTCTTTAATTAAATAGTCACCTATAAAATGTCCAAAATTTGAATTTCTTAAAGTTGCTGCATTTGATACAATAGCACAGGAATCATAAATTTCACTATCGTCAAATAGTGGTACTTCTGATAAGTAGTCCATTAACGGGTGGTCGAGATCTGATCTTTCAAGCGTTCTAAAAGTATCTAAACTAGAAAGCATATCACATACCCAATTCTTATTGATAATCTTGGAAGCTTGTGGTTTGTATGGAACGTTATATGGGTTTTCACCTTTGAGGTAACCATTATTTTCCTTCATTACAACTTGCCTTAGACGTGTAATTATTTTATTTTTAAAGTTGGTCAACCTGAAAGTTAAATCTTTGTGTTAGTTGATTTAAATAATTGACATTATCGATGATTTCAGTATTAAAATGACTAATGAAAGTCATCGGGAGATTATTAATTAATTCATAATGTAAATTATTAAATAATTTTTCAAAGTTTAATCTAACTACTTTTTATAATTGAATCGGCTGGTTTGAGTTCCCAAAATCATTAACCCCTAAAAATATTGCCACTGATAGTTTCGTGAAAAGACAAACGCTTAACTCCGTCATTTATTAATGTTATAAGTGGATTAAATTAGTAAGAAATAATATTTTAACCTTATATTGTAAACAATTTGTTTAAAGAGTACCGTAATCTTATTATTAATTTTTTGGTACGCATACTTATTTCAATCAAATAACTGCCAAAGTATAGATTATTTTTTGATATAATTGGTTATGTAACTTAAAATTATTAAAAGTTACCTGCCTAATAATATTTGATTCGTCTAATTCTTCTTCATCCATATGCATTATAGATTTTTTCCCCTTGAGCATTGGATTGACAGTTAGGTCCCCTTCATCATAATATTCGACGTATGGTTGTCGCGTGTAAGTCATATCACGTATCTGTCGATTTTTTACACTTATATGGCGCCAGTATTGAAGCCAGAGTAAGTATATGTATCCACACATACCTAACAATACGACGTTCAAAAAGAACCATACCATTAAAGCTACCGAACGCATTTTCTCCAAGTTTAAGTGTTACAAGTCCATCTATAAATATATTTCGTTATAAATGTGTCAATTTAGTTAATTTTTATGTGAAATTATAGTTAATATCAACACCCATATATTAAAACAATAAAATTTATAATTTAAAAAACATTCTACTTTATTTAAAAATAATATAAGAATTTTAATGTTGTTTTTTTGGATGGGGGAACTATGAAAAATTTAAAAGAACCTTTTTTTTTTCTTGTTTATATCGTTTGATCTAATTTTCAATGTAATTTTTAAAAGGTTGGAATTATGTCGTATATTATTTACCTTTTGATACACGTTTAAACCTTTATTACTATACGTAGTTATTGTTTTACTATTAACTTCTTAATATCGTATATTTAATGATAAGTAAAAAATTGTTAAATAAAAAAATGATTACATTATTATTTTTGAAATCTCAAGTATTATTGGAAAATTAAAAACTATTGCAGTAAAACCCTACTGAAACATTCTTGAAAAGTTGTTCATAGTATAAATTAAATGATATTTGTTTCAGTTAAATTTAAATATTGTATAAATGTTATTATACAAAATTTAAATAAAAGTACAACCTTTTTTTAGCTAAATCAGTTTAATGTGAAAAATAAATAATATATAGAAAGTAATTAAAAATACATACTCAAAAAACTTTTACTTATATATTTGTTTAATTTTAGTTATAAAGTAATAATTGAATTACCTGAATTTTGTTAAAAAATTTGCTTTTTTCAATGTAAGACGTAAAAAAATTATATACTATCATTTTCAATATGATATTACATAATATACAAAAACATATTTTGTTTAAGGGTTAGTGATAGAGGCTTTTCAATTTGTCCAGCACAATGAAAATGCTACACTGTGAGCTTTACCATCTATACAGCATCCTTTCGCCTTCTACAGAATCAATATAATCAAGCTTTAGACTTGCGCAATCAGTGATACAGATAAAAAGAAAGACCGCCATGAAATAAAATGATTAGACATCTTTTTTAGATTATCAAATTTGTTTGATAAGATTCATAAAAATCCTATTTTTAATTGATAAAGGTATCATAGTAATTATTTCTATAAAATCAACAGCAAGAAATTATTACTTTTTTACTTGAAGGTCACAAATTCATCTAGAAAAAAAATGTTAGATTTATGTTTAATTAATTTATCAACTTCAAAACAAATTCTACCTCACCCAAAAAAATCTATGATAAAGAAGTAATATTAAAAAAAAACCTAATTTCTTAACTGACGGATCAAGTTCTCCTTAATTGCCCTTATACTGAAAATGTTTTTTTTTATAATTATAAATTTAAATAAAGGGTTAAATTCAATGATAATTTTTTTTTCAATTAAAATTTTTTTTATGTCATTCTATTTATAAGCTTTTATTTTTAAATAAAATATTATTTTTTAAAAGCTCATCTTTATTAATTACATATTTTTTTTACAATTGACCTGTTTCCTTACTTTTTGAACAACTGTATAATATAATTTACATACACTTGAGTGTAAAATAATATATAAAACAAAAGAACCAAAAAAAAAAACAATTTATTTCGTTTTTTATTTTTGTTTGAGGAAGTGAAGCATTCATTAAGCGGGTAATAATTTTTGTGCAAAGGAATTCCCTAAATTTAGATTCTGTCTTCAAAAAAACTGTTCATATACACATGTTTTAGACATATGAATTTGAATAGTTTATGCCTTCACGTTCCATCAAAAAAAAATATCCTATCTCATGTTATTTTTACATAGCTATAAGAGAATTGTAAATAAATGGTCTTAAAAATATATAGCACTGAATGAGTTGTTTTTATAAATTAATTATAAGTATTAAATATTTTTAATAATTGAAAATAAAAAAATGTAATCGATAAGTTTATATTTTCTTTTGACTTCATTTTAAATAAAATAGTTTTTAGAATAACAATATTGTTTATTGTATCATATCCTTACATACTTTTCATATTTCATTTGCAGTCTGCGTCATTTTTGTTATTATTTATGTATCATTTATAATTGTTATAGAACCTGGAAAATTTATTAACAATTGAAATGTAACTCTCGTAATACAAATAGTAAACGTGCCTATAAATGGGTACGAACTCTACAAGATTAAACATATTATATTTAATTTTATAGAGTATATGATATTATTGTTTGGAATGATTAAATAGTTATAAAAAATACTTAACGACAGTAATTTGGTCTGACACTTTATTATATAAAGAAAACATGATTAATATAATAATTAATATATAGGTATGAATATAAATATATTTTTTTTATAAAACAGTCTTAGTCAACAAAATGTCCTGCGCTCAAAGATGTTATGAATGATGAGCAATAAAATACGTATACATATTATAACTTAGTACAATACAATTAATAATAGTATATGATAGAAAAACATTATTATAATTCAAACCACGTTTAATTTATTATCGCAATAATGATTGTAAATATTTCGTCGTTAACAATAACATAAGTATTATAGAGTAGTATATAATATAACAGTTTATATATTATATTTTAACATAATATTATTCTCGCGTAAATTGAAATAATTTTTCTCTTAATTGGCTTAAAATTGGACAACCATTAAATTGCACATTAGCAAAACATTAAATTTTCATAGGCCATAGTTTTAATTAATCATTTTCAATTCTAACTGAATATACATATTAATGTTATTTAGAGAGAAAAATGTAAAATTATAGAATTAAGCTAACGTTTTGTACAGGTTGACGTGAGTATTACTGTTAAGCTGATTTACTTTCGGTCTTCTTGCATTTTTTGCATATTAAAAAATTCATATCTGGTGTATCATTTTTGATTGAACAAAATGAAGCGCAATGTATCAAGCGTTAATTAAATCACGAAGCAAATTATTTATTCGTCTTCCATTTCATTCTGATAGGTTATATATCGCACCGAAGATTTTTCGCCGGTAACCAAAGACTGGAAAAAGTATAGGATGTAAATACATTTTTTTAACAATTATGCAGTTTTCTTTAGTTTACAAATTTGTGTTTAATTTTAATTAATTCCTTAATAACTATATTTGTTAGTTAAAATATTTATTTATTAAATTTTAAGAATTTTTACAAAAATTTCGGGTAAAAGAAGTAAATAGTAAACAAGTAAAAAAATTGTATAATTTATATTTTCATAAAAAAAAACAATAAATTACTGAAAAATGAAAGGTCTTTACAGTATTTAATATAAATAAATATCAGTGGAACACATATCCACATAACCGTGTGTATTTAAACAATTATTGTCATATTTATTAGAAAATAGCTCCTAGGTATTAATTTAGTTGCTTGATTAACAATGATACCTCAAGAACTATTTTCATTGGATAATATTTTGGTCGTTTATAAATTATTTTCAAATCCAAACAAAGTATGTTAATAAGTAAACAATAAAAATAATTATGCATTATTACTTTTTTCTCCTCTTTTGTCGGCGGACTGCGTAATATGTAGAGTAATGGTGCATACATAAAATTGATGATAGCAATGCCAAACAACATCCATTCAAACCCGATTGTGTTCACTAACGTTCCACTTAAAGCAGGACCTATTTAACATATTTAAAATTAGTAAATGTCGGTAAAAACATATTTTTTTATGGTTAACCTATTGCGAATCCCAAACAGAAAGCCACATCACCAATTGCATAAACACTTCCATAAACTGCTGTGTGACGAATATCGACCAAGTATCCAAGTTCGGGCATCATAGAAGAATCCACCATCCCAATAGCAAATCCTAACCCGGCATTAGGTACAATCAAGTCGTTAAGTGCTCTAGCAGTTGGAATCTTGATTTTTTTTTAATTATAAAATTTAATTAATACTATAAAAATAAAATATTTAATATTTTCTTACAATCATTAAGCAAATCCCAATAACTATTAATCCTATCATCGCCGCCAGCCATCTACAAACGATAATAAGTACATTAAGTATAAAATTCAAACTTTTTTTTTTATTCATTAACACCTTCCCATACGGTGCCCAAGTGGTCCAAATAAGTTTGTTCCTATTAAGTAAGATATACTTGCTGGTAAAAAAGTTACTCCCTGTTTCAATCTCCCAGCTCCCATGGTATCCATCATCCATATCGGTAAGGATGGTTCAAGCATAGAAATACCAGTGTTTGCAAATGTTATAGCACCTACAATTCAAACGGTATACTTAAATTAAAAAATTAAAATCCATAAAGATTTTAATATTACCAGCTGCAATAATAATATAAGGATCCATTATTAAAGATTTTAACGAAGGTGGTTCCCCTTCTGTTTTTACTATTCCGGGTTGAAGAAGCAAAAGTTGTAATACTGTAAAAAATATATTTTCATGAAAATAAAAACGATAAGTCATTGATTACAAGTTATTTAATTTGAGAAATGCTTTTAAATTAATCATCATTATTAAAAGTTGAAAATTTTATAATATTTTGATATTTTATTTAATTATGACGAACGATGACATCACGACTTAAGTTATAACAAGATGTAGAGTTCTTCTTTTAGAAAAAAGAAATATGATATCAATGAAAAGTTTTTCAATATAATTTATCGCAAGAATGGAAAATATTATTTAAAATTTTTAAGTTATTATTCTTATTAATACCTATTATGCGATTACTGGTAACTTTTACTTATTTATCGAGATTATTATTTTTTTTTTTAATCGACGATAAATAAAAAGTTATTTAATCATAATCTTCTGTAGAAACAAATCCGGGTATGTCAGTTATCGCCCTAGATACTAATTGTAGTCCCCGTAAATAATCAATTATATCAATGAAGGGTAAACAAAAGAGTGGAGAAGCAAAGCATCACACGAAAACTATCTTAAAGCATGAATTAATACGAGTTACATCCCTTAGAAACAATTTTACAAATTATAAATAAAAGTAATATTTATTAAAAATGCATACATCCATCTCCGAGGGCTAAAGCTGACAGTATTAAAAATGGTGCGGTTTTTCCTACATATTCATACATAAATCCGCCAAATGGTGGTCCAATCAATACGCCAAGTGCTAATCCGCCCAATGCGATACCCATTGCATTTCCTCTTTCTTGATCGTCTGGATAACGTTCAGCTAACATACCCATCCCTGTAAAAAAACATTATAACCAAACAGAATAATTAGATTTATATATAGATTTTGATTACCAGAAACCGAAGAGCAAGATGATCCGACTCCTTGCAGTGCTCTTGCTAAAAACAATACTGAATAACTACGCCCAAAAGCAAAAACTAAAAGTATGGATAAAATCGTTCATTAATATTGCAAAAATCAACTTAAAATATTTTGAAATAGACTTACTTAAAGTGGATATGAACATTATGAAAAATCCAGCAAACATTGGTATACTATAGCCAATTCTGTGTGTAAGAGGTCCAACGATTGGATTAACCATAAGTTGTACTACAGCCTTGGAAGCAAACATAATTCCTACGGCAACTGTCTCATGAACTAAATCGTCATGCCTTTCTTTTCTGAGCGTTGCTTCTTTTTCTAACCAGACTGATTTATTTCCTAAAACATGCGACATACGTACTAAAAGTTTACGCACGTTAACTATGTTATATTTTTGAATACATTATGAGTACACATACCAGGAGGGCCTGACATATCTCCATGGGGAACAGGCAATTTGTTGGATGGTACGGGGGGTATAGTTACGCTAAGTGGCTGATCGGGATGTTGGATATCGTAAAGAAACTCTGGCATAATAGGGACTGAAATGAATAATTATTTTTGTTACTCATATTAAAACAATTTGTTTTAATCAAATGAAAATTATACTTTTTAGGACGAACTTACCTACTGTAGTGAGAAGCATATTATCCAGGAGTAAAGCAATAGCTACTATAACTAAAACAAGTTGGCGTGATTGACGACATCGATTTAACCATTCTTCAAACATTCCTCTAGCTAGAATATCTAGCTAAGTATCTGATTTTTAAATAATGCGAAATAATATACCAAATAATTTTTTTACTTAATTTATAAGATAAGAATTTATTTAAGAACTTACATAAATCGTCCAGTCTAATGTAGTTAGAGAAGATAAATGTTGATATATATTTTAGACTTGCAATTATTGATTTTATCCGAACTCATAGCTCTAAAAAGAAATTGTTTTGCAACTAATTTTTATCAATATATTATTTATCATTTTTTTGATACATACATTTTCAATTGGTAATAAGTAAACAAATTTTTTTTATTAAAACTCATTGTTTAGAAAAATATATATCCTTTTTTATTCAAAAGAGAAGAGAAATTTCGAGCTTAAGTTTTATGATTCAAAATCACCACATTTTATAGTTGTTAATAAACATTAAGATTTGCGAAACAAATAAATTATTTTTAGCATAAAATTACTGTTGCTACTAAAAACTATTTCAGGTAAAATATTGAAAGGGTCACCAATTTAGGTTCTCTCTTTTATCGAAGTTAACAAGATACTGATTACAATCATTCGCATTTTATTTATTAAATTGATGTTTATTTTGAAAAATGAACGTTAAAAATATTGAAAATCATCAACACGTGTCTCGCGTAAATAGTAACGACTGCGCAACAGGTACGCAACAACATTATGTATTTTTGTTTAGCTTAGGGTGTGATAGTTACCTGTTACGAATGATGAACGGCGTCCGTCGAGTGCCACAGCTGGACAGTCAACCGCCGGGTACAAAGCCCGGGGACTGTGTGTGCGTCTGGTGCTTAAATGTTAAGCCAAACGTTCACTGATGCAGACTCTGGTGACTTACGTTGAGCACTTTGCCGCCATCCCCATCGACCGAGGCGCTATGTATGGGGCAGCCACACATCAACAGTCACGATCGTCTCATTCGTCCCATCTGCTTATGCCGCCTACGCGTTTACGACATTTAACTTCCCCTCTACTCACCACCAAACGTTTCACCAATGAATTTTCTTCGCTCGGCAGTCCATTATTTTTATTCGCTCTCTTTCATACTTGTTGAATAGACAATTAAATGAAAACTTCCGTTCAGAGAAATTCTAGAATTGATGCGTTTTTACTTTGGCATGAATCTCAACCCAACCTTTTCTTCTACACTTATATACGTTTACACAGCGCACTTAACATTTCGCCTTGGTTTTCTATTTTTTTTTTTTTTAATTTTCACAATGCTTTTTTAACAAAAACAAATATACGTAATTCATATAACGTTCATTTTTTAAAGAGACGACGGCGCGCAGGCCAATCAAATAAATTCTAAAAATTGAAAATTTTAATTCAAATTGGTTGTTGAAAATATATTTTTACATTGCCCGTCAAATTAGATGAATGCATTTGCATGTGTTATTAATTCCCAAATATTGATATTTTATTATCTGAATACAGACTTCATTACAAAATCTCAACAAGTGAATTCTATTAAACTTTCATTAAGTCAAAACAAACAATGTTCAGTTTTTAAAATTGAATTAAATCGAAGTTTTATTTTTATAAAAAGTCACTCGGAATCATAACAAGGTATCTAATCCGTCAAATTATAAGTAATTGGCATAGTATCAGAATATAATATACTTTTTTTTTCTCAAATAAATAATATACACTTAGCTGTTATACTGTACAACTTGATTTATTCAATGATATTTACATATTCACGAATACACGTATACATGAATTTATTACTAACTTAAGGGTGTGGCTAAAAGCTAAAAGAATACTTTATCCACTTGAACCTTATATATGATAAACTCTGCAAATCTTAGGAGAATTTATAAATAAATAATTTATCGATTCCCATGAAAATAAACAGCCAGATTAATTTAGTCATAATTATGTATTTCAATAAAGTTTTAGTTAATGTTAAGTACATAAATTTATAAATCTTAAGATTACTTTACTACTCATAAGTTTTTTAGTATTTGACTAAATGTACGTAAGAACATAAAAAAAAAAGTACTTGTTACTTACAAATTTCTATGATTATATTAGAATCTGTTACTAAGAGTTTGGTTTGCATTATTATTATTATTATTATTTTGAATCAGTACATATAGCTTTTATTAAATTATATTTAATTCTTCATATGAATAATTACAGTTTAAATAGACGGACTATTAAATACAATTAAAACATAATTTTACGCTTCACCAAGATTTGGAATGAATACATTCATTTTTTGAGTGAATTCATGAGTACATTAAATATGTAAAGTATAAATTATAAATGTCAATTAATTTTTTATAAGAATGCGAATGAAAATTGAATGTAAAAATGAATTTATCGATTAATTATACAAAAAAATAAACTTATAATTTTTATTTTAAAAAAATGTCTATTATTATCCTCCAAACAATATATTCTCATTTTCGTGTGATTTTTATCATGTATTTTTCCATCCGATAACGTAATCTAAAAACATAAAATTTTTATCAGTATGTAGAGTGTTCAGTAAGTAAGGAATCGGATTTCTATTGTTCTCATTGTTTTTAACTATTTACCTGTTTCCTTACTTACTGAATACTCTGTAGAACTAGTAATACTAGGTAAATAACTGATTACCTAATAAAATCAATGATTGAAAAACATTTATTAAATTGTTATGAATTAAAATTTAATACATTTTGATAAATCATTCTAGTCAAAATTATGTCAATACAGTAATTTATTTATTTTTGTTATTTTAATAATGTGTTTTATGAAGTGAGCCCAAAAAATAAAAATGAATAAATATTTTAAAAGGGAATAAAAAAAGTTTTTAGTATTTAAATTTTATTATTTATTGTAAACAGAAGACTGATTTATTTAACTTGTACATAAATAAAGCCTTTACTTGATGAAACATGGCTTATCAATTAAAATGTTACAGCACATTAAAGATTAACATAAAATGATAACATTGTAAGACTTAAAAACAATAAATACAACTAATAATAACTAACGCATATAAGATCACAAATCATATAAATATGTTCTCATTAGTATTAGACACTAAAATAACAGTATAAATAAATTAAATAATGCAACCAGCGTTTAATAGGAAGAAAATAATTATGATTGAGTGTGAATTAAGATTGTAATAGAAATCAAGATTGGTTATATTTTCGATAACTAAAAAGTTTAAAAATCAATTACTGTTAGAAACAATGGAATAACAATGAAATAGATTATGTAAAAAATCACCGACGACTTACTTGTCAAATAAATGGCAAAAGGGAAACAAATCAATTTCAATTTAAAACCGAAAGCGGGCAAATAGGTATGCCATAACTTTATAATTAAATAATTAATAAGCTTATGGGACTAGTCTAATTGTTGAATCCACGTATAATTTGGAGTTTGAAACAATGAACCTATACCATTGTGCAAAATTAAAGGGAAGCGTGAAACTATTAAGTTGACCACGTTTTTGTTAGAGAGACTTTAAAAAAATAAAAACGTCAGAGTTTAGATAGTTAAAATTAAGACATGAGAAATTTAAAGTGACTATAGCTAAGAGATCGGCATTTCATTACCATTAATATCCGAATGACTTGGTAATCAATGAAAATGGACAACTTTACCCAGAAGAGTAAAGTTTTAATAAAAGGGATTTGATAGAGAAATTAATCGGAGAAATGTGAAAACTGAAAGGATTAACATTTAAAGCTAAAAGACTTTCCAAAGAGTCAACTCATTATCATTTATCATTCAAATTATCATTACGAAAATATTAGATACTAAGAATAATCTATTCGCATTATGTTCCAAACCCTGATCATCATATAATGAATAATTTCAATATTGTAATAATCAAAATATTTTATATTATATTCTAAGTTAATAGTTTATTTTATCTAAAACATATCAAAAAACTGATTTAAATCATTAAGAATAAGGTTTTTTTGGATTAAGTTATAAGCGCATGACATCAAATATCGAAGACGATGGCCTGATTCGTTAAAATGTTTTTATCTTAGAATCTTGAATTTTGCAATCGCGCATAATTCAAAACATATACATTTCATATGTATTTTGAATAATACTATTGCAAATTATTTGAATAAGTTTTTCTATTCAAATTTTGATACAAAGACTTATTCACGTGTAAAGTTTTAACTTTGATGATCAGTAGTTAAATATACGAAATCATTTGAATTTAGTTATTCATTTTCCTCCCTTACTATGAAATTTAATATCATACTGGCCAATAAACTACATAATGGCATAATAGCTAAGCGAGTTTGTGTTTGTCATATGTCAAAAACAGAGCACTGTGAAATCCAATAGTGCCTTTTTATCTTGACTCTCCAAAACCATCACAATTCACCATAATACTGTTTTTCTATTTCCCGTTTGTCCACTTGAAAACAATATGCTTTACTGCCGTCCGCCCAATGGGAGCCGTTTTTAGCAAAATAAGCAAAGTCATGTACAATGCTCTTGTGTACTTTCGTAATTAATCACTAGTTGTTTTAACGATTGTCATGGTAAACTTGCAGTGGTAATCAATCAAAATAAAAATTGACAATTGATTAGCAAAATACACAAGATTACAAAAAATATATTGTTATTACTCGTATAGTATTAAAAAGTTTTAATTGATTAAAAAATATACTAGTATTTATTAAAATTATTAGTACATTAAATAAATTATACTTTTATTTAAATTATATTTCATACCAATTATACAACAATATTTTTAGTATATTGCAAAAAATGTTTATATAATTATTATAACAATTATTAATAGTGGTATGTTCTAAGTTTTAATATTGATTAAAGTTAAACTTAAAAAAAAAAAATTTATGTGGCTTTCATTTGAGTCACACATATTTTCCTGTGGTTATTGATTTTCTAATATTGATATTTTATATATACAAATGACAATAAAACGTGATATTTTAATTTTATTCGAAAATAATGTTTTTTTTATGATTTGGCTAGTAACGAGTATTTATTTTTGAAACTAATATCGTAAAATTGTATACCACAAATGTACATTAATATCGTTCAGTTTTAGATAGTGTTTAATTTAATCCTTTAAAATGGGTCACCAAGCACCATGTGAGAATTCAATAATACCTACTGATAAGGCAATTGTTGATATGATTAGACCTAAATGGGCACTTACAATTCATATATATAGAAGAAATTTCATTTATTTACCTTTCAATTTAGAAAATGAAGAATTATTTAGTTTAAAAGGTTTACTTTGGAATCATCTAAGGGGGAAAACCCAACCTGGAATGAATTGCATATCTAAAAAAGTATTAATGTACAAGATAGATTTGGCTTTTTATAAAAAACAACGAGCTTTTGTGAGTAAATTCTAGCAAATATTCAGCTCATAATAATAAAACACCCATTATATACCAAAGAAATATCTTTATCCATTGTCTGGATACTAGACATAATATGAATTTTTATTTTTATATTTTAAACTGACAAATAATAGTTATTTTCATTTTTTAATTTTTGTTTCAGGTCTCAGCTGAATATGTTAAACGAAAACTTTAACTCTACATGTCATTAGTTATACTTTTATAGAATTTAAATTTACTTTAATAGTGAATACGTGACAGTGAAAACATATATATTTAAATTGCAATTCGTTTACTAACAAGAGTTTTAAGAAATAATTATTTCGAGTAAAATGAGAGCTAAAGATATGTTTAATATTACACAAACTAGACTAATACAAGATCTATGTAGTTTTATTTATTTTTATCGAAGAAATTGATTTGTTAAATTAATTAAAAATGAGATCGTTTTAACTTTGAATAAAAATATATTTAAAATTAATATTCTGT